GCGAGGAGCTGGAAGACCTCAAGCGCAGGGATGTATTCGAACTTGTCGACCGCCCGAAAGGCCGCAAGGTTGTCAAGAACCGCTGGGTATTCGACATCAAACCAGATGGTCGAAAGAGAGCCCGATTAGTCGCAAAGGGCTACTCACAGACTGAACTTGAAGACTTCTTCAAGGTTTTCTCTCCCGTCGTACGCTACGAGACAGTCAGACTGATCCTCGCGCTCTGTGCGCTCGAAGATTGGTTCATGACTGGACTTGATGTGCGGAAGGCTTACCTATACGGCGAGCTAGACGAAGAGATATACATGGAGCAGCCCGAAGGATTCAAAATCCGAGGGCATGAGCACCAAGTATTCATACTACTTCGTGCGCTCTACGGACTTAAGCAAGCGGGCTTAGCGTGGTGGCGCGCCCTCTGCGAGTCCATGGTAGAGTTCGGATTCATCCGACTCTCCACCGACGCTGGTTTATTCCTATATAAACATAGCGACGGACGTATTGTACTCGTCATCATCTATGTTGACGATGCGCTCTTCTGCGGCAAGGACAAGGCGCTCGTGCTCGAACTCAAGGAGAAGTTCATGAAGCGCTGGGAGTGCCGCGACCTTGGCGAGACCAAGGAGTTCCTCCGCATGACGATCAGACGCGACGGCCGCAAGATCCATCTGGATCAATGCGCCTACCTCAAATCCGTCCTTGAGCGCTGCAAGATGGTGAACGCAAAATCCAAGCCCACACCTCTACCGGCCGGGTACATTCCTGAACCCAACGACCAGCCTGTGAACCTCGAGCGTCGCGCTGAGTTCCAAATGGTCATCGGATCGCTTCTATACCTCATGCTCGGCACGCGCCCGGACATCTCGTTCGCAGTTACCAAGCTAGCGCAATACGCCGCTAACCCATCTGAAGATCACCTGACCAAGGCCAAGTACATCTGCCGTTACCTTGTCGGCACTCAATCGTACTCCATGGTCTACGACGGCGACTCGGGGCTTGGCATGGTCGCTTTTGTCGACTCCGACTGGGGCACTGATCCTACAACTCGCCGCTCTCAAACTGGATACCTCGTCAAGATGGCTAACGCCGCCTTCTCCTGGCAGTCACGTGCGCAGAACACTGTCTCGCACTCTGTCACCGAGTCCGAGTATATGGCTGTAGACGACGCTGGACGTCAAATCGTCTATTCGCGCAACGTCCTCGAGGAGATCTATTACTTCCTCGAGCCTGTACCGCTTTCTAGCGATAATCAGGGTGCTATCTTCCTCGCCTCGAACCCAGTCACTGAGAAGCGCACCAAGCACATCGACATTCGCTATCATTATATACGCGAGATCGTCGAGGCGAAGAAGGTTGAATTATTCTACATTCAAGGCGAAGATAACCCCGCCGACCTCTTCACCAAGAACCTGGGGCCTGACAAGTTCCTCAAGTTCCGCCCTCTTCTAGGGCTTGTATTCCACCCTTAGGCCTCTGTCTTACTTCGCTGATGCGCCTTTATTACGGCTGCTCAGCGAGGGGGGGTGTTGAACGCGGTAAGTACACCGCGGACTACGCGTGAGAACGCTCGGCATACTCGGCCACGGGCCGCCGAGCGGCTCGGCTTACCTAAGAGCGTCTAGCCGTATGGCGCGCTCTACGGAACGCCACTGCATGGCATGCACGTCTCCGATCGTGCATCCCCCGTTCCAGAGAGCTATCTCTAGCTACTCTATGATACCGTAGTGTAGCCCCGTTTCTTTGCTCTCGTTTCAGCCTCTCTCGTGTACTGTACAGTAGCACCAGCCACTCGTTCGTACCCTGTATAAATACCCGAGTATCCCGGCCTGCTAATACACAGTTCCTTTTACTACTACACTACGTGCGAGACCTCAAACAGGCTCTACTAAGCTACAGGTGAGATGTCGCGCCCACTAGCGTGAGGCTACCGTCTCAACAGTTGTCCGCTCCGCCGACATATCGGTGTCCCCGCGTCGCCTTCTCCGCGTCGCCCATCTCACCCACCGCCACCTCCGCGTCGTCCTCAGCGACGTCTCACGCGCGTCACCCGCGTCACCCTAGCCCGCAGCCCCATCCCCCGCCTACCCGTCCCTCACCCACATCGCCTGCCCGCGTCACCCACCTCACCACCTCGCCCGCATTCCCGCGTCGCCCACCTCGCTCGTCTGCCCCGCGTCCCCCGCGTCACCCACGTCGTCCGCGCATGGTCGACATCTTGCCATCACCCCCTCGCCCATCTCTCCCTCGCCCGTCTGGCCCTTGCCCACCCCACCATCGTCTTGCCCTCGCGTTGTGCACCACGCCCACGCCCGCGTCGCCCGCGCGTCACGCCCACGTTTCCCGCGCTCGCGTCGCCCACCTTGCCCTCGCCCCCTCCGTCCCCTCGGCCTTGTCCCCTCTGCGTCGCCTGCCTCGCCTCCCCTGCCTCGCCCACGTTGGCCTCAACAGCCCCCGTGTCGCGCCCACGTCATCTGCCTCGCCCACTTCGCCCGCCTGCCGCCTGTGTCACCCGTCTCACCGCCGTCTCGTCTCCTCGTCGCCCGCGGTCTTGCGGCCCCGCGTCATAGTTATATGTTTGTAGAGCTAGTGAATGTGTATAGAGTAATATTTTTTGACTGCAATACACTTATACTTTCATGAATGCATTGCTATAGTGAGAGTGATCAACTGCAGGATCCATTGATCCGCACTGAGCCATGATGTGCGGCTCAGTTCGAGGCTCAATCCGCAGATTGCGGCTCCAGCTCGCGCGGCTCCGGCTCTTCCGGAGGATCTGATCCATGCGGATCCAGATCAGGGCCCGAAAATGGCCATGATCCACGGATAAGACTCCGGATCATCCGTGGATCGATCCTCATGCAGCCTTAATCTGAACAGCGTGTTTCCCGTGGGCAGGTTCGAGACACACGTACACGTGGAGCGCAGGGAACGCGAGGGTGACGACGCGGGCAACGTGGGCAACTCGCGGGCAACGTGGGCAACTCGCGGGCAACGTGGGCAACTCGCGGGCAACGTGGGCAACTCGCGGGCAACGTGAGGGCGAAACGGGCGACACTAGCAAAATGGGCGGGCAACGCGAGAGCGAAACGGGTGACACTGGCAAAATGGACTTGGTGGGTGAGGTTAGCAACGTGGCAAGGTGGGCGATGTGCGAGAAGCGGGCGCAACGCGGACGACACAGCCAAGTGGGTGACATGGACGACACGGCCAAGTGGGTGACGCGGGGCTCTGGCAAGACGTGCAAGAGCGAAGTGGGCTATACAGGCCACATGCGCAAGGTGGGCGATGTCGTAAGGCGGAAAGAGTGAGACGGGCAAGGCAGGGAGGGTGGGTGAGGTGAGTTTAGTGAGTGAGGTGGGGTGGGCAACGCAGGCGTGACGTACAAACCCCGGGGAGTCGAAGTTCATGTCTAGTTCGGTGTCTTGATCCCGTGTAAGTGAAAGCCTTGTCAGCGCGCACCCCAGCTGGATGAACATGAAATGTACTCACACGGGCGCACGGTGGACCTTCTGACGCTTGAGCCAACCTCGGAGGAGTACTGGGATAAGACGAAGAGGTAGTCGAAGGATCCCGGACAGCGTGGCGCCAGGCCCTGGGCATCGATGAAAACCTCCAGCTGAACGTCCTCGACCCGGGGAAGGTGTTGGCAGGGGCGTAGAAAGCTGGGGAGGGAGCAGACGCCATGGGCTGAGCAGAAGCGGCGCGGAGCTAGTACACCCCCTTGTCAGTGTCCCATGCGACCAAGTAAGACGACAAGTTCTACGCACCTTTCGACACGGCGAGCGGGCTGCCCAGAATGCTCTCGCCCTTCGCACGGAGCGTGGCAAGGGTGTGGATAGGGGTGGAGGAGGACAAGGACAAGGCTGTGAGGACGAGGACAAGGCTGCGCAGCGCGCTGGCAGAGTCCGCGTGGGTCGAGGCTGAGATTCCCACACCAGGCGCTGCCAGTGCATACGCGTCGCCTGTGCACTTCAATGCTTGTCTCTTCCACACGTTGTCTCCAAGTCCGCTCGAGCCCGCTCGCTACCTTGCCAACCGCCACTGATCCACATCCACAAGCTCGAGCGGGAGAAAGAACTCAGGCGAATTGAGGAGTTCCACCGACCACAGCGCGCTCTGTAACTGCGCCTCCGCCCGGGACATGTTCCACCACGACTTCTACACCCCTGCGCTCTCCGACAACCACCACCTCGACGGTCAGGGCCAAGGACCGCCGTGCCACGGACACGATATATGTGAGTCAATCTATCTTAACATCTTTTATTTACCCCCTTTTCCCCACCCTATGCCATCCCCACTTCTTCTTCGCTGCCAATTCCCCGTTGTGCCATCCTGCCGTCACCAGATTACGTGTTGAGCCTGACCCTCCGCCCGCACGTGCACCACCAGTTGCAGTATTGACTTGTCAAGCCTGAGGACGAGCAACGCTACACGGTGAGCAGCTCTCCGCTCCCTGTTGCACCAATTGAGAGACTGACGATCGTGACACCTACGTCGCCCGCTTTGCCCACCTTCCCGTTGTTGCTGCCTCGCCCTTGTCAACCAAGTCGGGCCACGTCGCGCTCGCATCATGCTATTCACCACCTCGCCTGCACCGCTACGTTGTTTGCATTGCACGCGTCGCCCACGCGTGTCACCTGGTCGCCCACGCGCCTTGCCTGTGTCACCCACTCGCCTGCGTCACTCACCTCGCCCACGTCTTCTCCCTCGCTCTTCATGCCCGTCTCCGCTTGCACGACCCATGGCGCTCCCCCCGAACATGCCCGTTTTCCTGCCCGCTCCCGCTCGGCAGATGGCAGGACTCCAAGCCACATCGCTGCCTCCACGGTCTTCCTCGGCGCCAGCGCGGCCCCTGATTGAGCGCAGTGTCGACGAGGAGCTGTGGCTGCCCATGCGTCGCCCACAGGTGTGAGCGCCCCGCTGACGAACGCGACGAGATGGGGCTGCCCTCTCAGCTCCAGCAGCTCGACGACCGCGAACGCCCCTCCGCCTCCCACGCCTGCGATCGCGTCCTCCGACTCGCCCGTGTCGACGCGGAGCCCGCGCGGCTTCACGAACGTGTCGTCCTGCCGGCCGAGGTACTCGATTAGGCCGTCGCTCGTCCACCTTGCGCGGTCGCTGGAGCGGTACATCATCAGCCTGGGCTCCGAGAACGGGTCGGGCAAGAAGGCGGCGGCAGTGAGGTCGGGGCGCCCGAGGTATCCGCGCCCGACCTGGTTGCCTGAGAGGCAGAGCTCGCCGACGGGGACGTGGGTGTCTGGGCAGCGAAGGTCGATGATGTACGCTCAGGTGTCCCCGTACGGCCTGCCGATGACGCCCGCAGGGACGTTGGTGTCCAAGGCGAAGGTCATTCCTGCGCAGCTGACCGTGACTTCAGTAGGACCGTAGCTGCGCGTGCTCGTTAGGACATACGGAGTGACGACCGCCTGCCACCGCTCGCGCTGCACAGTGTGGAGTGCGTGCCATGTGCAGTTTGGATTTCGGTGACGCACGCTGCCGTCTATAGTACCATCTTGAGCTCGAGGCGATGTCATTGTCGTTCATCATAATATATCTGATTCACACAATTCAAAGCTTGTCATGGCCCTCTATTTCTCGTGTGCCATTGTCCAAACTGGTCATCTAAACTTTCTGAGATTCGCCTGAGATGTCTGATCACCTCTCACCAATCTGAAACTTCTCACATAAAATGTGTGAGAGATTTGAGAGGTTCAGAAATAATGGGAATTACTGATGGTACCCTCCTCTCTGACCTTGATCCCACCCTCCCCCTCGTGTCTATTCCTGACTTCGACACCGCTCTAGAGCGCATCACACACGCCCTCACCCAGACTGTGGAAGAGACCGTGCCTCTCCGCAAACCAACACCCTTCGCAAAGCGCTGGTGGTCAAACGAGCTTATGAAGCAACGAAAGGCGCTACTAAAGCTCCAGCGGCAGGCCCTTCCTTACCAGATGACACCGGATCACCCCCTCCAAGTGACTCGTCGGAAAGCACGCAACAAGTACAAAGACGCGATCGACATCGCAAAGCGGGAGTGCTGGCACTCCTTTCTTGACGCTATCGACCCTACCTCCCTCTGGACAGCCCACCGCTGGGCCAAGAAGGGCGCCACGGACGGAGGAGCCACGAGGATCCCTCCCATCGCCCCGTCATCACGCTCGGGCTCGGGAACACTGCTCTACTCGAACGAGGAGAAGTCGCAAGAGTTCTACGACACATTCTTCCTCCTGCCTTGCGATTCGCCACCCCTCCCACCCGACTTTGAGTACCGAGAGCCCAAGTTTGACTACACGCCGCCGACAGATGAGCAGATCTCAGAGACGCTGGCAGGTCTCCGGATGCACAAAGCCCCGGGCCCGGACGGCCTACCAAACGAGATTTTCCGATACTGTGCATCGACACTTACCCCACACCTAGGCAGGCTGTTCCGCGCGACCTTCTCACTCTCCTACTACCCCCAGTGCTGGAAGATCTCCAACACGGTCGTCATCAGGAAGCTGGGACACCCCGACTACTCAGCTGCCAAAGCATACCGCCCTATCGCGCTCCTCAGCTGCCTCTCAAAGATCCTCTCCCGCTGCGTAGCTGACACCCTTGTCTACCACGCGGAGAAGCACGCCCTCCTCGCCAATTACCAGTTTGGGGGGCGCCCGGGCCGCACCACCAGCGACTCAGTCCACCTCGTCACGAAGCTTGTCAAGGACGCGTGGCGCAGTGGACGCGTTGCCTCAATCCTGTTCCTCGACATCAAGTCGGCCTTTCCCACGGCCATGCCTGACCGCCTCTTCCATAACATGAGGATGCGAGGTGTCCCGCACGTCATCACTGACTGGCTCCGGGAGAAGCTCACAGGCCGCCGCACCACTCTCAAGTTCGACGACTTCGCGTCCCCCGCGTTCGACATCTCCAGCGGCATCGACCAGGGCTGCCCTCTCTCCGTCATTCTATACGCCTTTTACAACTCGGATCTACTCGACGCAGTGAACCCAACCAAACGGCTCACAGCAGTTGGCTCGATGGACGACGTAGCCCTGATTGCGACAGCGGACACCTTTGAAGGGGCACACAAAATGCTCAGCCACTTCATGCGGAAGGACAGTGGCGGTTTCGAGTGGTCCCTGTCGTGGAACGGACTCTGGATGTGCCCTATGTATTATTTTTCGCCTTTTCCTCACCTTTTCTCTGCCTGTTACTATATTGGAAGGTTGTTCCCGCGATTAAGCGCCCGTATCGCGGACTCTCTTAGCACTTGCACTTCGTGTCCTAGCCCTCATCTCGACCTCTTAGTCTTTGTGGGCTAGGTGAGTATCTCGATTGCCTGTATGTATGTAGAGCTATGTTAACTTGGTCTTTGTGGGCTAGACCTCCCTCGTGTGACTCTAGTTTGCGTCTGCTTTGCGCCTAGTGCCGGCAACGCCTCTGCACCACTACATCGAGGTCATCCAACCTCCATCTACACCCATCCACCCCTCCCTCTCCTCCGATTGGCGTTCGCGGCCCGCTCCTGCGTCAGTCCCGCCTCCACAACTCGGTCTTCTGAATCGAGAAGTTTGGGCTTCTGAACTGCGCCCGCAAGATCAAGACCCTGGGGCCCGCGCTCGACCTCAATGGCATTAGGGGTGGTCAAAGTTAGACAGCGAGGGCCGATTACGGGGACGATTATCGTTTCGCTTTCAGTTGCAGAATTGTCCCATAATCGCGCTTTAACTTTGACCACCCCGCGTGAAACTCAATTATGCACTCGATTATACACTCGATTACGCCGCAAGCTGCCAGATGGTCTGGCTGACAAAGCATTTAACTCCGAGTGAATTGGCTGATGTTTTCCGTCATGGCTGGGTTGTTGTGGTCACGTGGCATAAACATCATGAACGCGTCCACACTAGGACTCGGTAGTAGTGTTACCCTCCCTGCCCTTGTGCTTGTCCTTTTGCCGGATGCCTCGCTTGACTACTCGAGCTCTTCGTGCTCGAGAGCTTCGGCAAAGGTACATCAAGTTTTGCAAAGCACGCCGTGCTCGAGAGCAACACCAGGAACATCGTAGCAATCAAATTCCCGAACCACACACCGACTTCTCTCTCTCCTCTCTCTCTTCCCTCTCCAGCCTCTCCGATACCGAAGACCCTGACTCCACTACTGAAGGCAACCATGGCCCCAACCTCCCCCTCCCCACATTCTTCCCCCTACTTGATCTCGACGATGATCCTTTCGACCCTGTTTCTGATTTCAACAACGCACACCTGGCCCAAACCGGAGAGGACCTGGATGAGGATGAAGACCGAGAGGCTGATGATGAAGGAGACAGTGATGAGGAACTCCTGGCAGGTTTTCACATACGTCAGTCTGTCCCCATTCGACGTCCGAGCAAGTTGTCCTGCCGCATTCGCTGTGCTCTGGTCAGCATGTATGCGAAGCGTTACGAAGCACCCCGTTCCACCCTTCCTCGTGGCCCAGGCTACCTTCCCCATGTACTCCATGTGTTCAAGCATCAACGACCTGACAAATTTCGAGAGTTGCTCCGAATCAACCCATCCACTTTTGATCGGCTGGTCGCATGTATTGAGAAAGACTCCGTCTTCTCCAACAATTCTAGAAACCCCCAGATGCCAGTCGAACAGCAAGTCGCAATCACTCTGTATCGTTTTGGACATTACGGGAACGCAGCAGGTCTACAGGCAGTGGCAAATTGGTCTGGCTGCGCGAAGGGCACTGTTGATATCGTCACTCGTCGAGTCATGACTGCTATCCTCCGACCGGAGTTTCGTCTGAGTGCAATACGTTATCCCACACCTCAGGAGAAAGAGGAGGCCAAGGCGTGGGTGGAGAAACACTCGTGCCATGCGTGGAGAGACGGCTGGTGCATGGTGGATGGGACCCTCATTCCGCTTGACGAACAACCTTACTGGTTTGGGGAAGCATACTTTGACCGCAAGCAGAATTATTCTTTAAATGTTCAAGTAATGTGCTATCCACCCTCTTCTCGTTTTCTCGCTTGCTCATGATATGTTCGGTCTAGGTTATCTCTCTGCCGAATCTGCGCATCATAGATGTTGGGTATGGGCACCCAGGTAGTACACATGACGCTTCAGCCTGGCGGAAAACCTACCTTGCACAGAAACACGATGAGGTACTGGATGAGGGAGAGTTTGTATGGGCGGACTCAGCTTATCCTGTACGTTCTAATCTTCCATTGGGCATGATGAGTCTCCCGCCTCTGACGACTGGTACAAGATCGATCACTGGGTAGTTGCTCCGTACAAGATGCCCGAAAGGGAGAAGCGTGAAAACGAAGTTTTCAACAACCACCTCTCAATGGTCCGCATCCGCTCAGAGCACGCCATCGGTTTCCTTAAGGGCCGCTTCTCATCACTTCGTGGTCTTCGGGTACGGATTGTCGACGCTCGCACGCACAAGTTTGCAACGTACTGGATCCTTGCTTGTGTGGCTATCCACTCGTTCGCTATGCAGCACGAAGACGAAGAGCGCCACACCCTTGGGACCACCTCAGACGATGTCGTTGATGACCCATTCATCCAAGAGGGCCTCGAGCATGACGAAGACTTGGGGGATCACGCAGGGATGGGTGAGGTTGGCAGTGGGGCTACAGTGAGTGGCATAAGTCGCGTTCAACTCGGGAAAGCACGGCGAGAACAGCTCAAGCTAGCGCTGCAGAGGAGCAAAGATCGTCAGACACAAGAACGAGCTGCACGCAAAGCCGCCGAGAGACGCGGGCAGCGAGGGCTGTTCATGTAAATCGTGTTCATTAGGTATGATGTACTATCACTACAATGAGAAGAGGGGACCGGAATTTGTGTAACTGCGCATCACACTCTGCAGCTCGCCGTTCAACGAGAAGTAGGTCGTATGTGAAGATCTTGGGCTTGTCGAAAAGGTGTGGACAACCCCATTCCAACGACGCCTATCGCGCACAAAACGGGCCGGTCGTCGTGCATATACGCAAGGAATACGAGTGAATATACAATGCTTATGAAAGTGGGGAATGGATGGGGTACAGACATTCGAAAAGTGAACAGAATGCAGCACAAGTGGATTCGATGGAAAGAAGAAGAAGAAGGCTCCGAACAGATGAAAGAGCGAGAATGGAACATACCAAATCGCCCAAGAAACACCCATATGTTGTCCGCATAACCTGTAGCCACCAACACCTCTGAAAACGAATCGATATATCTTCCAATTCTTGACGAAACACGACGGGGAAAGGATTGTCGGAAAGAGGGAGTGAAAACAAAACCAACAAGCCAAAAATCGTGGGATTCCGACCATTTTTGACCACGTACTGGTCGAGTTTGCGAACACCGAAGGCCAGTCTGCAATGGAATGGCATACGACCTTGTGAGGGGTGGGAGAGTAGTGACGCACCATCAGACGCGCAGTAACTTGCTCGATATATGCCGCAGACTCACCCGGTGGATTTGGTGCATCGTCAGTGCGGAAGGAGATAGGAAGGGAGGAGTGTATGGGTAGCGGGAGAGACGCACAAGCGCGTCATACCTTCAAAGGCGCCCAAGCCACCGCGGCCGTTGTCTCTGTTAACTTCACGTTCAGCGGTGCCGCCCCAATCTTGTGCGACGCCACGCGATGTGGTGCTATTCGAGTTGCAAATGTTTGTTTGTTGTGCTTGCCGCGCTCGTTCGTGCCCGACTTTGAGCTGCTGCGCGACCTAGGGGAGTACACTGTACTGCTGGCGCGCGTCCGGGAACTGCTTAGTAAGCGGACGCGAAGGGGAAACACGCGTTTGGACGTGTCTGTGCCTTTGAACACGCACCGCGGCATCCCTTTGCAACTGCCCAGAGATGGCCAACTCTGGTGTATGATGGGCATCAGCGTTCAAAGAGGTCTCAGTACCTCGGGACAATGGTGCCTGACCGCAAGGGTGCGCTAAGGGGTGTGTTCCCCTTGGGGAGAATTTGGGTCCGTTCTCCCCGAGGTTTTGTATCACAACCCATGCTTGAAGGTGAACTCTTTCCCTCTCAACAGTACATTTTTAGGCTACTAAAGTACCTCTGTGTAGACCTGTCACGTGTGAGGCTCGGATGAGTCGGATCGCCGCGCAGGTGCTCGTCGGTAGGCTTCCAGTGGGTATGGCAAGGTACGATCTGTGACAATCATTCATCTGAACACCTCTCCCTCCCCTCCTTCACCACGACAACCCCTTGCACCCTCCAGATCTGGTTGCAGGTGTAGTGTCGTTTATAACGGGCGCCTATTTGGATCGGATGCGTCTGGAGGCTGCGGAGCATCGTGCTGTAGAATTGAGCGGTGCTTGTGCTTGTTCGATATGGGGTATCTCGTGAATCAGAGACCTTTGTGCATGACACAATGTTGTATGCAGTGTGCCTAGCATACATAGCGCAAACATGAAACCATACTAAGACTTGGACGACTTCCCAGTGCTGTGACCCGTGGCCACGCTTCCTTCGCCAAAATTGCCGAAGTCTACACCATGCCTACTATTGTAATCCATCGCCATCGGGCCCATCAACGATGCTGAGGCTGAGGCTGCTCCGTAATCCCATTGGAGGGGGTCTGTACCAGTCTGGTGAATGTCCGAGGAGGAGGTCGAGCTTGCGAGGTCGAATGGAGAGACCGGTGCCTGTTTGCGCTGGATTTGCGCGAGCTGGATCTGCAGGCTCGCATTGACCCTGGCCATCCTGAACTTGTGCTCGTTCCGAATCGCCACCTCTTTGAGTGCCACCTTGCCCTTCACCTTGGTGGTCTCTAGGCGGACTTTCAGCGCCTCCACCTCAAGCTGCTTACGATGTGTCTTCTCCTCTTCCAGATGCAGGTTGTCGAACTCGCCGCTGTCCTTGGACTTCCTCTTCATTGTGGGCGTCTGTTTCGCGGCTGCGGGAGAGGATGCGGCACGACGAGCTGGTGTTTTCTTTGCCTTCTTTGCGGCTTGCTTGGGCGCGAGAGGAGTAGAGGACTGCTTACGTTTCTTTTGCGTCTTCTCCGAGTGCTCGTCCTCGTCGGAGATCTCCCCCAATCCATCAGCTCCCTCATCCGCGCTTTCCAACCCCGAGTCTTCTCCGGCGCTGGTGGAACTGTACGAGCCCTGGTTGTCATCATCATCTTCCTCCTCATCTTCGTCCTCATCATCAAGCCCCGGTGGGTCTCGATCGCTACCGGCATCGTCTACTTCCAGCATAATAGACCCGAAATCAACATTTGATTCGGTGTTGTTGACCTCTGGGGGCTCTTTGTTGGGGTTGTTTTGAATGAGAGCCATTATGCGCTCGTAGTAAGGGAACGGCCCTGTGACAAGCTCCTCTGGGTAGTGTGCACGATGTCAGTGGTACCTCGGAAAGATATGAGCTGATATGTACTCACCCCACAAGTTCCGGACATGCTCGGACGCTCCGTCGAGTTGGTCTGCACGCTCAATCCCACCACCCGTCTGACCAAGTTTGCCTTTGATGTCCATGGCCTTCTTTGTCATGCTACACGGCCCTCATCAGTGCCGTTCCTGACTGAAGGCATAGCAAGAACAGCGGGGCTTATGTGTCAAGGCGATTCTTGATCTTATTGACGAATGGTAGGCGATCTACAGCCTTGCTGGTTCCGTCGGCGGCAATTACCTCGGCAAGCTTCGGACCCTGTACACTGTGATTCTCGAATAGAATCTTGGCGAGAGCCCAGTGATACTCGATCTTCTTCTTTCCACCGCCGCGCTGCGTAGATGTGTTTCCTCCTGAACCAGGGAACAGCCCTCTCATCATGTCCTCATCCTGCTCGATAGAATCCAGGAGAGACCAAGTCAGGTTGTCCTTGGGATCCTCCCAGCTTGGAGTGCAAATGGTGAGCACATGCAGAGTCCAATAGAACAACTTGTACCCACTTGAGTGGGTCCTCCTTTTTCTTCGCAGACTTGTTTTGGTCCGATTTGTTACTGGCGGCTTTCCGAGAAGTGTTTTGAGACGTGTTGGTCTTCTTTTTCGAGGACTTGGAAGGCTCCTTTGCTTGTTTTCCAGTGGCCATGGTGTATATAACAGACGTAGGAGACTGGATGGGACGAGCAGCCGTCGTGCAGCTACTGGGCATCGCATTTATTTCGCTATTTACATATTTTGCAGGACAAGTGGCGACTTGTGTAAGTCAGGCGAAATTAGACGCTCTCCCAACAGCGAGCCTCCCATAATCGCGCTGTGGGCTGCGAAAGCGGCTCCAGAGCCGCTTTCATCGCTGCCCCGATTATAGATCCATAATCGAAACGATAATCGTCCCCGTAATCGGCCCTCGCTGTCTAACTTTGACCACCCCTATTGTAATCCAGCCACAAGCTGTCTGCCGCTTCCTTGGCGTCATGCTGGACCGCCAGCTGTGGTTTCATGCTCATGTCGCCCACGCTCTCGCGCGTGGCACGGCGTGCCTCGCAGCCATCCGTCACCTGGTTGGTCCTCGCCACGGCGCGGCACCAACAGCCGTCAAGCGCCTCTACATGTCGGTCGCGATCCCCTGCGTTCTATATGCGGCAGACGTCTTCCTCCACCCGGAAGGCCTAGACCGGGAGGGCAGGCGAGTCCGCGGTTCGGTTGGCGCAATCCGCAAACTCGCCACACTCCAGCGCCAGGCGCTCCTTCTCATCACAGGTGCTCTCCGCACTACCGCTACCGACGTGCTTGAGATACACGTCGGCCTCCTCCCGTTTCTACAGTGGTGAATCGCCAGGTGCATCTGTTGCCATAGCCTATCGGCAGGTGCAGATGCACCTGGTGATCCGGCCGGCCCGGTTGCATTCCCCAAGCGTGCTCACGCAGCCGCTCGTGACATTGCCCCAAGACATCTGGACACCGGCGCCTCAGGCCCTGCCACCTGAGCTCACCGTCTCCGACAGTGAGCTCACCTCCCTTTTTGTTTCACATCACACTTCGTACATAATTAGTGATCAAATATATTTATCAATAAACTACTACACAGGGACGCAGAGGCGAAGGCGGGTGCACGCGGGCGGGCGATGCGGGCGGATGAGAGCGACGTGGCGAGGGGGAGAGGCGGACGTGGACGAGGCAGGCGCGGAGTAGAGCGACGTGGCAAGGCAAAGGCGGGCGCGGAGGAAGCAGACAGGCAGGAGGACGCAGGCCAGGCGCAGGTGGACGGCGAGGTGGACGGAAAACGGCGACGCGGAGGGTGACGCGGCATCTGGTGACGCAGGCGTGGAGGAAGCAGGCAGGTGTGGGGGACGCGGGTGAGGCACGGGCGGACGGTGAGGTGGTTGGAGAAGGGTAACGTGGCGAGGCCACCTGTGGTCACCACGGCTGTATTACAATGCCCCAGGTACATGGGAATAAGCTTTTGCTATTCCTGAGGACGTTGTTATTGTAATAAACGTGGTGAGGTCTTTAACAATAACAACGCAAGGGGGTCTTGTAATAACTGGTGCTGAGGCTGTTAAAAGCAACGTGGGGTTGTTAAAACTGGCGTAGGGTTGTTAAAACTGACGTGGGGCTGTCAAAAAGGGTGCAGGGCTGTTAAAACTGACGTAGGGTTGTTAAAACTGACGTGGGGTTGTTAAAATCGACGTGGGGCTGTTAAAACCGACGTGGGGCTGTCAAAAAAGATGCTGGGTTGTTAAAATCGACGTGGGGTTGTTAAAAAGGGTGCTGGGTTGTTAAAATCGACGTGGGGCTGTAAAAAAGGGTGCAGGGCTGTTAAAACTGACGTAGGGTTGTTAAAACTGACGTGGGGTTGTTAAAATCGACGTGGGGCTGTTAAAACCGACGTAGGGCTGTCAAAAAGGGTGCTGGGTTGTTAAAATCGACGTGGGGCTGTAAAAAAAGATGCTGGGTTGTTAAAACTGACGTGGAGATATTACAGAATGTGCCAGCCTGTAATAACTGACGTAGAAGTATTACAGAACATGCTAGGCTGTAATAACTAACACCAGGGTCCCACTGGGACCTACCTAGCTATAAATAGCCTGGTTCAGGTACTGCTACAGATGGGCATTCTGGCAGGTATAGTGGGCTGGAATTGGGGATAAACGGTTAGCTAGAGATGAGAATGGCTAAAAGGATACGTTTGGGCTGGTATAAGCAGCTGGAATGGGGAGCAGTAGCTAGTATTTACCAGTAAATGGGCAGCCTGGGGTGCAGCACAGGGTGGGGAAATCGTCAGGCACTAGTTACTTATCAAAAGAGGCATCTAATAGCTTTCTAACAAATCCAAGATCATGTTGATTGGAGCAGTATTGGTGGAGATACAGATGTACCCCCGTTTTGGCCGATAGGAGCATCTGCTAGAATCAGAACTGGTGGATGGAATCCCCTGGTTCTTGTTGTATACCGTGTGGATTGCCTTCCAATGAGTGGGGTCGAAATCCGATCGGAGAAAAACCCCTTCATTACGGAATAGATTGCTGATTACGCTTCAGCCACAGCGCTTTTGATCTCTCAATAGCCACTTCCCATATGCTCCGATAAGTGTTCTTTTTTTTGCAGTCTTTTCCTCTACTCTACGGGAAAGTGTTCTAGGTGTCATTTTAACAAGAACAGCCCTCTGTACCTTCCTGTGCAGCTGTGCACACTTGCAGACCTTTGCCTCACCCCTCCATAACTACCCATTATATCACCATGGTGTCTTCTGTGTCGAATTGGCACTGCTCAAGGGCCCTAAGATATGTAAGGATCATACTTATCAGAACATGTTTGATAGTGTAATGCCCCTATCTGTCCCCCCACTTGCTCCCCCGATCCAATTATATGTGATACTCTGATAGTCTCTTGTGAAGTCGATCAGAACTCGCCTCGAACACAGCTACAAGATGCAGAAAGAACCATGTGAATCGGCCCAGAATTGGTGAAGATGTTCCATTGGAGCCCAGAATGCACCACTGGGCTACAAAGTGTGGGATGAAACCTCTTCACATAATACCCACTCAACCCTGCAAGGAATGGTACACTTGCCCCCACATGTGGCAGAGGTGCTAAGTCATATTCAATATCATCCTGAAACATGTTCCATGTGTTATTGCCATAGGTATATGTGTGTGTGTGCCCTATTTCACATTTGTGTAGAGTGAGGGGCATGGCTGTAGAGCAAAATGAGCCCTGTTTCAGCTGTAGACACTGTTACTTCCTGAGTTCTTCACCGATCTTCGTGATTGTACCTGCGTTGGATAGGTGTGTTCAAGCTCTTATCAGATCTACGTAGTGTACATTGATCGGAGATGGATTCATGTGCTGATGGGGGCAATGCATGGAGGAGAGATAAGGATGGATATAGCCTAAACAAAGACCGATAATGTTTTTATACTAGGAACATAAAGTATACCACAATGGTCAAACAATACAACAAGAACCAGATTGATAAATGGAGCGGTTATGGATGGGTGAGGCAAAGGTCTGCAAGTGTGCACAGCTGCACAGGAAGGTACAGAGGGCTGTTCTTGTTAAAATGACACCTAGAACACTTTCCCGTAGAGTAGAGGAAAAGACTGCAAAAAAAAGAACACTTATCGGAGCATATGGGAAGTGGCTATTGAGAGATCAAAAGCGCTGTGGCTGAAGCGTAATCAGCAATCTATTCCGTAATGAAGGGGTTTTTCTCCGATCGGATTTCGACCCCACTCATTGGAAGGCAATCCACACGGTATACAACAAGAACCAGGGGATTCCATCCACCAGTTCTGATTCTAGCAGATGCTCCTATCGGCCAAAACGGGGGTACATCTGTATCTCCACCAATACTGCTCCAATCAACATGATCTTGGATTTGTTAGAAAGCTATTAGATGCCTCTTTTGATAAGTAACTAGTGCCTGACGATTTCCCCACCCTGTGCTGCACCCCAGGCTGCCCATTTACTGGTAAATACTAGCTACTGCTCCCCATTCCAGCTGCTTATACCAGCCCAAACGTATCCTTTTAGCCATTCTCATCTCTAGCTAACCGTTTATCCCCAATTCCAGCCCACTATACCTGCCAGAATGCCCATCTGTAGCAGTACCTGAACCAGGCTATTTATAGCTAGGTAGGTCCCAGTGGGACCCTGGTGTTAGTTATTACAGCCTAGCATGTTCTGTAATACTTCTACGTCAGTTATTACAGGCTGGCACATTCTGTAATATCTCCACGTCAGTTTTAACAACCCAGCATCTTTTTTTACAGCCCCACGTCGATTTTAACAACCCAGCACCCTTTTTGACAGCCCTACGTCGGTTTTAACAGCCCCACGTCGATTTTAACAACCCCACGTCAGTTTTAACAACCCTACGTCAGTTTTAACAGCCCTGCACCCTTTTTTACAGCCCCACGTCGATTTTAACAACCCAGCACCCTTTTTAACAACCCCACGTCGATTTTAACAACCCAGCATCTTTTTTGACAGCCCCACGTCGGTTTTAACAGCCCCACGTCGATTTTAACAACCCCACGTCAGTTTTAACAACCCTACGTCAGTTTTAACAGCCCTGCACCCTTTTTGACAGCCCCACGTCAGTTTTAACAACCCTACGCCAGTTTTAACAACCCCACGTTGCTTTTAACAGCCTCAGCACCAGTTATTACAAGACCCCCTTGCGTTGTTATTGTTAAAGACCTCACCACGTTTATTACAATAACAACGTCCTCAGGAATAGCAAAAGCTTATTCCCATGTACCTGGGGCATTGTAATACAGCCGTGGTGACCACAGGTGGCGAGGCGGGCGCGGAGGAAGTGAACGTGGAGGAGGGCGAGGACGTGGGCGCGGAAGAGGACGACGTGGCAACGGGCGACACAGAGGAGGGCGACGCGAAGGTGGGCGATGCGGAGACGGAGAACGCAGATGGAGGGCTGCGTGGGCGCAGATGGGCGACGCGGGCAGCACGGACGCAGAGGGCCGGGACGCGTGGAGGAGGGCGATGCGGAGGAGGGTAAGGCGGAGGGGTGGGGCGAAGCGGCGGCCAAGATGACGTGGTGGTGGGCGCCGCAACACCGCGGAGGAGCAGGGCGACGCAGGCGGGCGACGAGGGCGTACGTAGGTGGCGCGGAGGTGGGTTGGAGGTGGGTTGGAGGTGGAGGGCGGGCGGCGTAGGAGAGGAGGGTGGCGCGAAGGAGGCGGGTGGCTCAAAGGAGGCGGCAGGCGTGGGCGGAGTAGGGCGAGGAGGGTCGCGCAGGGCAGCATGGAGGGGGAAGGCCGCGCAGAGGAGGGCGAGGAGGAAGGCAGAGAGGAGGAGGACGTCCGCCCGGACGTCCTCGGCCTGTTGTAGGAGTGGCAGGTGGGCGTTGGGAATGCGAGAGGGCGTAGAGGAGGACTCACCAGAGCAGGGGTCACGGTACATCGCCGCGGCCCCATATTCCAATCTCCATGCTTGGATGGACGTCCGGATGCGCTCTTGAAGTTGTGAGGGCGGCTGGCAAGGTGGGTGAAGGGCGGGATTGAGGTCGAGGCCGAGGGAGGTCAGAGGAGGGAAAGGTCGGTGTCACCTGGTGACACCGGAGTCCAATAGCCAGTCGACCGTGTGGTCGCTATCGTCTGCCTGGGCTGAGCGGGAGGATGGAAGCGGCGAGGATGTAGTGGAGGAGGAGGATGAGGAGAGCAAAGGCAGCGAAGGGGAGGGACGCGTGGCGTGCATCACAGCCACGCGTTGATGCGCGCCACGCCCAGCGAGGAGCGTCTACACGGGCGCGCATCACGGATCAATGGGTGCATCTGTAGCTGCCGATAGGCTATGGCAACAGGTGTCCCTAGCGATTCACTGCTGCTCCCCGTTTCGCTTACTTGTAGATAAATTTTGCCATCGTTCTACTGTACGATTATGCACCCTCCCTAAGTCCCACCCCCTTCATCCCCACGTTGCACGAGTCAGCAGGCACACCCCCCGCCACCACCACTCTCCCCTCCACACCCTCTTCCGCCTTTACGGTAGCACACTGACACCAGAGTCCACGGAGACGATCCTCCCCGTCCGCGATCCCCCAGCCCCTCTTCACACAAGCATCGCGGACATGAAGGAGAAGGCGGACGAGTCGGACGAGCGGTGGAGACGCAAGGCAGGAGTGACCATCTACACGGATGGCTCGGTCATTGACGGCCAAGTCGGAGCGGCCGTGGTTCTCATCCGCAAGCGGGGCGGCACACCAAAGGTCCTCCGATACCACCTGGGACCGGCGACGGAGCAAGGGATATTCAATGCGGAGACGTGCGGCCCCATACTGGCCGCGCACATGCTCCGAGCGGAGAGGTCACTACCTGGTCGCCCCTCTGTCGCCCTCGACAACCAGGCAGCGATCAAGGCAACGCGCACGAGAAAGACCAAGTCAGGCCACTACCTCACCGACCACCTCCACGACGCCCTCAGGATTGTCGCAAAGAAGCACCCCTCCGCAAAACCGATCACTCTCCGGTGGGTTCCAGGTCACCTGGGCATCGATGGCAACGAGCTCGCCGACGAACACGCAAAACTCGCGGCAGGAGGTAACTCCAGTCGCATCGCAGCCCTCCCTCTCTGTCTCCGGAAGCGTCTCCCCGCGTGCGCATCCGCCCTCCACACCGCCCACGCAGCCACACTCCAAACGAGGGCCTCGGAGCACTGGGACGCGTCACCCCGCAGCGCGCGGCTCAAACCCATCGACTCCACCCTGCCCTCGAAGAAATTCATGGAGCTCATCGCCCCGCTCACGCGCAAACAGTCCCGCCTCCTCATCCAGCTCCGCACCGGCCACGCCCCGCTTTTTGCCCATCTCCACCGCATCCATCGCGCCGAAACAGACATCTGCCCAGCTTGCGGCACTGGCGCGGAGACGGTTGTCCACTTCCTCCTGCACTGCACGGCGTACTCCCGGGAGCGCACACAACATATCCACCTCAAGCTCGGCCACAAGGGCGGCAAGCTAAGCCACCTCCTCTCCCACCCAGATGCGCTCCCCCACCTCTTCGCGTACATCGACACCACCGACCGTCTCGCCCTGTCCCTCGGGGCTCTCCGCAAGCTCACCTAAACCGCCGCGCAGGCTCCGCACCCGCGCCCGCGCGCGGCCTCCCCAAAATTGCCCGACCGACCTCGGTCTAATACCCACCACCATCAACTGGCCAACGCCCCTACCCGCGTGATCGCCCCGGACCTCCATACCCGCCCGCGTCCCAGCCGCCGCCGTTCGGCGGCCCCCGCGCCCCGCATGACCCCACTCTGGTGCTCATCGTACCCGTTCCTAACCCCATCATGCCCCATCGCTACTGTGCCTGCTACTATCTCACCCATATCCCCCCTCCCCTCTCCCGTCCCTGCGGTCGTTTCCTTCACCCCTCCGACCCACCCTCGTCTCTATGCCCGCAAGGTCACGACCCCCTTGCTCCAGGGCGCCTGCATATGATGCGGCTCACCTTAGATTAGTTATAATGATTCGAACTGACGGGCTACCCTTCTTCCCGGCTCCTGCGGTAACGTCGCCCACCTTACGTTCCTCAGCTCTTTTCATTCTCCTAGTCTACTGACATGTGCTCACGTACCCTACTTTGGCTTACACCCTGGCCCGCCCGCCCCTCCCCGGAGGGTCGTCACGAAATCCTCCCCGTATGCGCTAGCCCTCCCCGCTTTGTAATTACTGTACGTACCGCCTACCATAGGGCTCCGCCCTGACGGGCGATAAATGGGATACAAACAAACAAACAAACAAACGTCATTCACGACCTGGGGTGATTGTAGGTTCGTACTGGACTCAACGAAGTGCCAAGGCAAATTAAAGCATGAGCGTCTCGTACATCATCGCGACTTGAAGATAGATAATATCCGTTTGCGCTCGGAGAAGCGGCGATTGACGCGAGCGGGAGATTGACCTCGAGCGCGGTCATGAGCGAGAGCAGCTCCGAGACGTTCTTGCTGGTTAGCTCGGGTGTCGAGGGGATACTCGCCACCGAAGAGGTTTTTGTCGCAGATGCCGTCGTGGCCACGGTGGTCGTCGTCGCAGAGCTTGCCGAGATTGCGACGCCTCAAGGCGCGCCAATGCTCCCGTGGCATGCCCATGGCATGCTCATGCTCTCAGAGGGCGTGACTGTGTGCGCGACGTCGGCCGAGGTCTCGATGCCCATCACGGTCCAGAACATTAACCCATCCGAGACGTCCTCCCTGAGGTGCACAGGCTACTCGGCCACGAGGTCGGTGTCCGCCGCCGAGGAGGAGAGGATCGAGTCCTCGGCGTTCGTGGTGAGGTCCTGCGTGTTGGAGTCGCGCGGCGAGGGCCTCGACTGTTGGAATCTGCTCACGTGTATGGCAAGCTCGGTCGTACCTTACTTGTGCTTAGTCATCGTGTAGATAGCCATCGTCCCTCGTCCCGCACTCGCCTCACGTGTTTGCCCTTCACCACCACCTCGTCCTCCCCCGCGTCCGTTTGTACTCGCCTCCCGGTGCCCATAGGGACCAACCGTGTGGTATCAATTGCCTTCAATACCCCCTCGTCCGACCTCAACCGAGCCGCCGACTTCTAACATCGACGTCGCCGATCAGAAGTAGAGCTGGCCGATGTGCAAGACGTAGGTGGAGACATAGGTGCTAAAGTTCCGTCCTTGAACGAGGTGTCGTTCTCGTGCGCGACTCGAGATGTGGACGTGCGTCGCGCAGCTGGTGTAATGGGCCGGGGAGACCGAGAGCCACTGGGCGACGCCGTCCTCATCTGTGGCCTGGATGCCGTGCAGGAAGGTGGCGTTCTGTGGAAGAGACAACACTCAGTGTGTTCCGAGAATCGGTGACCGATTGGGGTAACGTACGGGGTTCTTGAACTCGGATGCACTGTTACCGTGGCCGCTGGCGGAGATACCCGAGCAGACACCGGTCGCGTTCGCGTGCCAGAAGGCGAAGTGGACGTTTGGTACGGGCGCGCACGTGTCGACATCGATTATCTGGACGTCGACGTAAGTGTCGACTCGGTGACACCCTAGACACCGGTGAGATTCGACAGGTGGTCCCGAGTGTTGAGGCCTTGAGGCCTGAGGACGGTGTCAAGGTCACGCTTGTCACTTGTGATGGTCGCACGAAGGACGAGAATGGGGAAAAGAGCCGTTACTGCAAATAGGAGATGTGGAGCTCGAGACCCTGTCATGGGCGCGGCGAGAATGAGTAATACAGGATACAATGGAATGTAGCCAAGCCCATGACAACGCTCCAGGAAGATAGCACCGCGGCCTGGAAAAACCGTCAACTAGGCGATCAACACAGATGCAAATAAAAACACATACGGATCTTGCACGACTCACGCACACCCTTGACGAAGGCGCAGCCATGGTGAGGCGGCCCGAGCGGTGTGGCGAGAAAAGTGCCCACCGGCCCGCGCGACGAAACTCGATGGGCGCCCACTGAGAACCCTGCGCACAGCCCACCTGGCATGGCCATATATAGTGGGATCGTTTTACGCAGGCGGTGGACCGACTCAGCGCATCCCACGGGCAGCCGACTGGTCAGGCCCCTACTCCCTCTTTTCCGATCTAGCACGGCAACATGGAGGACGAGATAGCTGCGCTTGTGAGTACATCAGTAAGAGCGCCGGGAACTTGGACCCTTATGGCGCTTGTGGACCTTGCCCAAGGCACTCAAGGACCGCAAGGGCCCAAGTTCGCAGATGCGGCTCAGACTCGTAGAGCGGCCGACATTTGGCCAATGTCTATTATGCAAATCATAAGATGTAATGGTGGCAAATTTTACTACGGCCAGTGTGCTTGCACGCGGATGTATCAACGACATGAGGAGAGTCGTAACCAATGTCAAAAAATCGACCGCAGTGAAGACGAGCTCGTCGACGCGCTCCTGCTGGCGCCGCGTCCTTGAGCGTGCGCGAGCGTGTTGTAGAACACCTCGACCAGTGTGAGGAACACTGAATTCCTGCTCGCGTACTGCGGCCGCGCGAGCGCCGACGGCGTGAGCAGCACAGGCAGAGTCGTGTTTGGAAGGGACCACCCTGCAGTTGCGGAAGATGGTGCATTCCCACGGCAGTCGGTTGGTGGGCGTTTCGCGCCATGCTGAGTCAGGTGGGAAGCAGCTAGTCATAACCTGGGGTCCGGGGCCTATGACAGGCCACCGACTGGACGTGCTGCCTGGGTTGAGGCTGGTGCGGGGGATGTCAGCTGGAGGGCAGAGAGCGAAGCGCGGGTGCTCACTGAGATGGGATGGCCGAAGAGGCGTGCAGGAGCGGGGCGGCGTTGGTAGATCGCACGCGGCGAGATGTCGACACGGGGAGAGGCGCTGGTGTGTGAGAGATGACGCGTCATGTCGACGACGGTGCGCCCTGCGATGGGACGGGCCGACGTGCGGCATGTGTTGCCTAGGCGGAGGTTCTGACGTCGGTGGTGATAGGATGGGATATCCCCCTGATCGGCACCCCCGCTTCTTGTTCGGCCACGGGTAGTCGAAGGTGGAGGGCGCGGGCGAAGGTGCAGCGGTTGCCGCTGGCTGCTCATCATCGTTGGGTGCGGGCGGCATGTGGAGGGCAGTAGAGGACACCAGGGCCTCATAGTCAACCTCCTCCTTGATGCGCATGATACGAGGCGAGCGTCGCTCACGCTGCGTGACAGAGGTGTGGGATGAATACGCGAGTGGGGCATGGAAGCGGAAGAACTCACTCTGGATATGAAGTGCTATCGTTAGGGTGTGTGGGGTCGCCCGGGTGGGGGCACTTCCTGTTAAGGTGGTCGCGGTCATTCCGAGACTTGTGGTGGTCGTTGTGAAGTTCCGAGTGCAGCATAGCTTCGATACGCCCTGTGAGGTCATCCTCAGCCTCGAATAGTGCATTCATGGACCAGAAAGTGACGAACCAGGGATGCTACTACCATGCACTGATGCTCACTCTTGAGTTGCGACGTGCTCGATGCTGCCAAGGACATTGTGGCGGACTGCACGGGAATCAATACGGGCTTGTCAGCCGTGGACGACGCGAACGGCAGCTGGGGTGCCGCGAGCAGCGCGGGGTCGAAAGCAGTCGCCGACCCTCTGGGCTACTAAGGTTACTCGCCGCCACATTGTCGTGTTCCTGTGCGTCGGAGAAGAACATCTCCTCGAGCCACTGTGTGGCAAGCACGGACTGCGGAACGGCACAGGTGTGCAAGGGGAATCGGGGTGTGCAGCTGGGAGGGAAGGGCAATGCAGACTCACTGTTAGATGATCACAACAATGTTGTATGTGTGCTCGGCATGGCGGCGCACTCTGGCAGACTTGAGATGTTCATAGTAGAGTGGGGGACTGTGCAGAGGATAATTGGAACATCATGAGTGGAAAAGCAAGCAAAATACACACTAGTACCGGCACGCGAAGATCCACTGCATCGTTGTCGTCTGTGAGTTGAGGTGGTCGATGAAGAGTTCGGGGCAGGCATTGCACGATGTCGTGGATGTTGGCAAGGATGACTTAGCGAAGATGTTGGTCATCGCAGGTGTAAAATGTTGCGGTCGAGCCTCGACTCGTGTTTGAGCGGGATGGGGGAGGGGACAATTCCATAGGACAAGGCTCACGGCTGCTGCCAGCTCCTGGACTGCGCGGCCGCCGTTGAAGACGCGTTCAATTTCCCACGCGTCGGCCACTGAGCTGGTCGCCAGCACATCACCTCCAGGAGCTGCCTCATTCTCGACTTTGCCCTCAACCTCACCCTGAACCTTTGCAAGATGCTGTACTCTAGAGGCAGAAAGGCTGCTCGCTCGCACAGGCATTGGGGATGGACTTATGGTACGTTTGTTCACTTGATCGTCTTCTGGCATTTTCCCCCTCATTTTCACTCCGCAATGTGCATCGGTCGCATCCTCTGTCGCTTGCTACGGCCCCCATCCTGTTTTTATCTTCCCTCCTCTGCCTTGCCTTGCCTCCATCCACTCCTACGTGCTCACGCGAACCCCGTGGACGCTGCACTCTGTCGTGAGCAGACTGATACCTCGCCCTCAAGAACTCTCCGTGCAGCCCCACGTGTCTAGCTTCAAAGTGCCCCCGAGGATGTCTGTGTGAGGTCCTCCACGACACAGGTGTGTCCTGCTCGTGCATTCTCCACGACTGCCCTTCATCGCGCCAACAGTGCTCCCCTCACGCCCCGCACTTTGCCGAACAGCGCGGGACGACGACCGCAACGCGGATCCGCGAGGTGTGGCTCGTGAAGCAAATGTTGCGCGGGCGACGTGGTCGCACGCGCAAGGGAGGATGCGCCCGGGGTTTGTCGCAGCCACGAGCTTTACTGCGTGCGTTGGCGAGTTCGGCAACGAGTCAAACGAGGGCGGGTGTGGCTCCGAGGACTTGCACCGCGCCGAATTCACCCTTCCCACTCATCCAAATTGCGAGCTCGTGGGAGCCACCGGTCTCGCCCTCTGTGCCCCGATGGACTCGAAAAACGCGGACTGCGGACGTCCACACTCCCTACACCCCCCGCCGTCCGAAGTGCACCTGACCCAGTGGACGATGCGGACGCGAAGCAGTAGCAGACGCCGTCATCCGGAAGGAGAACCCGCCGTCGATGATCGTCACCCGCACCACTCCGCTCCTTGCACGACAAGCCGCCACCGCCGTCCTCACGTGTGGCACCTCCCGCGGACCCCGCTGCCTATGGCAATGGTCGTCAGCCGTTGTCGCCGCTGTCCGCCTGCGGGCGTCCTTCCACGCCGCCCTCGCCCATGCCCGTGGCACCCCCATCCCCACGTTTCGCCTGTTCCCCACGCCGGATGGAGAGCACGAGCGAGGGGATCACGTCAAGTCACGCGCGCTCGGGGGCTCTTTCCAGGTTGCCCCACCCCCCACGCGCACGGTGGACTCGTCAGACGACGACTCCGCGCTGCAGACACCACCAACCCAGTTGTGCCATGGGCCGGGGGCGCAGGAACCATCGCTCGTCCGACCACAAGCACGGCACCCGCGCGCCACGTGAGCCGCTCGGCCTTGGGAACCCCGCCACGAAGACCACCCTGGGTGCGGGACTCCGATCTACCCAGCCGCATGGAGATCCTCAAGACCTCGCGCCCGCCCCGGACGACCTCGCCCTCCTCGCCTCGACGTCTGCACCTGCCACTAGTGCGACGCAGCTGCGCCCATCAACTGCGACGGATGGAGAAGCGATGGTGGACCTCGCACTCGACACGGACGACGGCGAAGAGTTGTTGGCAGTGCTCGACCTCTCGCGTATGTTCAGCGTGCTGCAGGGCATGAAGGACGAGATCGCGGGCGGGGCGACCAGAATGAGCGGCAGCGCACGGCGGTGTGCATCGCGCTCGGGCCCGTCTACGGCCTCAGCGGGACCGGGGGCGCGAGCAGGGCGTCGTAAGGCTGTTTGCGGATCGATCCACGGATGATCCGGATCCGAACCCACGGATCGAGTGACTTCTGGGGGCTTGATCCGGATCCGCATGGATCAGAGCCGCTGGAAGAGCCGGAGCCACGGCTCCGACTCCGGCTCATCCGTGGATCGACCCACAGATCCACACATGTAATGTACCTTTCAAAAGATATATTGATGGTATGTTTAAGCTAATGTACTATCATTACAGGCTAAGCGGGGCGAAGGCATAGTGGGGGACGCGGGGGACGCGGGCGTGACGCAGGGGAGGCGGGCAACGCGTGAGGGGCGCGCGATGTGGACGAGACGGGCGAGACACGGGCGACGTGGTGGACACGGGGGCAAGGCGAGTGCAAGGCGAGGGCGTGGAAGATGACGCGGGCGTGGAGGATGACGCGGGGGCGACGTGGGCGCAAGGCGTGGGCGCAAGGCGTGGTCGCGGGCGACACGGAGAAAGCAGGTGTTGTGGTGACCGCACGGGAGACGCGGGGCAGGTGGGCGGCGTGGGCGGCGAGGTGGGTGTGGGTGCCGCGGGCGAAGTGGGTAATGCGGGAAATGCAGGTGTGGTGGGCGACACGGGCGAGGTAGCGGGCGACGCGGGAAATGCTGGCAATGCGGGCGCGACGCGTGCGGGAAATGCTGGCAATGCGGGCGCGACGCGTGCGGGAAATGCTGGCGACGCGGGCGCGACACGTGCGGGAAAAGGTGGGCGACGCGTGGGCAGGTGGGTGGCGTGGACAACGCGGAAATAGTAGACGGGCGACGCAGGCGAGGATGTTGAGGGCGAGACGGGTGAGGGTGAGATGGAGTTGACACGGGGGGGCAAGGCGTGTGGTGCGGGCGAGGTCCCGAGACGACGTGGCTGAGGTCCGAGGCAGAGAGAGGGGCGAGACGGGTGAGGTGAAGTGGGCAAGGTGGGCGCAAGGGCAGACAACGTGGATAACGCGAGGTAGGAGGGTGGACGGCGCCATGGCGGACGACGCGAAGAGCGGAGGGTGCGAGGGTGGATGGCGCCAGGAGCGCGAGGTGGACGAGGAAAGGGCGACGCGGGGCGACGAGGGGGCGAGACGGGCTGGGGCGAGGTGGCGAGGTGGACAAGCGCGACGCGGATGAGCGCGAGCGCGAGACGGCCAAGGCGTAGTTGGCACGGCTGGAACCTGGTAGGGGGAGGCAATGCGCAGAGCAGTGGGGCGGGAGGAACTCACCAGAGGAGATCGGGGCCGCGGGAGCTCACCGCGACCCCACAGAACGGCCGCGCGCACGAGATGATGCGAGGCGGGCGACGGTGAGACGGTCAAGGGCGCAGCGGGAGACGCGGGGGCGACCGAAGGCGACGCGGACGAGGGCGACGCGGGGGCGACCGAGGGCGGCGCAGACGAGGGCGACGCGGGGGCGACCGAGGGCGGCGCAGACGAGGGCGGCGCGGAGGCGAGGGTGAGCGAGGGTGTGGTGGACGACTCGGGGCAGCGAGCTCCGTGGGCGACGCGGGGCTTGTGGGCTTGTGGGCTTGTGGGCGAGGGCGATGGTGACGCGGGCGAGGGATGAGGCGGCGAGGGCGTGGCGGAGAGGAGGGCGCGGGCGCGAGGTCGGAGAGCGCGGAGAACGTGGAGGGTGGAGGGCGCGAGGTCGGAGGAGAGCGCGGACGGAACCTGGAAGGGGGAGGCTACGCGGGGAGCATAGGGGGCGGTGAGGACTCACCAAATGAGATCGGGGTCGCGGGAGCTCACCGCGGCCCCATGAAGACCCCCCCATGCCGAGAACAGCCTCGCGCGCGCGCGCGATGTCGCTGCGTGGACGGAGGGAGTGCGTGAGGGGCTGGAGAGGAGGACGGGCGAGAACGCGCGCGAGACGCCGCGTTCGAATCCGAACATAGCCCGATCGGGACGGATTCCCGCGTGCAGACGCCAGACGCGGGCGCCAAACACCCTCGAAGTGAACATAGGCCATGTTTTGTCTATTACTCGGTCAATTCTTGGCCAAATCACACAAGAATAATATCGTTAGAAAGATGCTTCAAATGGCTATCGAACAGCATAGGGTTTGTAGTACATAAATACAAATATGAGCTATCACTCAAGAATCTGCGGATAATCCGTGGATCGAGCCGTAGATCCGCCAAATTTCAGCACCCTCGATCCGGAGCCGCTGGGAACCGGATCCGGGAAGAGCCGGAGCCGCCCGGCTCATGATCCCCGGCTCACGGCTCCGGATAATCGGCTCATGATCCGCCAAGTGAGCTGGACCTGCAAACAGCCTTAGGGCGTCGAGCACGGGAGTTTCAGGGGAGGAGGCAGGCGCGGTGTGAGCCCTCGGGCGGGTCACGAGAGATGGGAGAGCGATGATATCGCGGATGCAGAGGGCTGTTCTACCACGATTAATTGGATACGCATGTTTGGTTTCCTCCTACTGCCCGGTGTGTTTCTGCCCGCTTTCGACTGTCCCTTAACGGCCCTTGAAGAGCCGTCCTTAAGCTGGTCTTGCTCCTGCCAAGCGTCCTTGAGATCTTAAGTAACCTTATGCGTCCTTGGCGCGCTTATCAAGGGCGCCAAGTTCACTGCATGATTTACTGATGTATCGCCCTCGTCTCATCGCGCTCGCCCCATACTCACTCGCCCACTCAGGTTATCGACAACGGTTCCGGCATGTGCAAGGCTGGCTGTGAGTTCCTCCATTCCTCCTCCAGTGCTTGGCCCCTCTTGCTCACAATTTCTTCACAGTCGCCGGTGAGATCATCCGTACTCCATCCCGTCCTCCTTGATCTTTATTCTCGTTTAGGTGAAGATGCCCCCTGTGCCGTGTTCCCGTGAGTACTCACATCTGAGAGCTCTTGTGAGGTCCTATAGTACGTACCTTTAGATCCATCGTCGGTGTCATGGGTGGTGTGGACTCTTGCGTTGGGTGTGTCCCATCGCGTATGTATCAGTACCCTGTCCACTCATGCCTAGGCCTCCTGGATCCAGTGACGGGGCCCAGTCGAAGCGTGATGTCTTGGCCATCAAGTACCCCATCGAGCGCGGTATCGTCACCGACTGGGACGACATGGAGAGGATCTGGACCCACACCTTCCGCAACGAACTCCGCGTCGCCCCTGAGGAGCACCCCATCCTTCTCACCGAGGCCCCGCTTAACCCCAAGGCCAACCGTGAAAAGATGAGCCAGATCATGTTCGAAAACTTCAACGCCCCCGCCCTCTACGTTGCCAAACAGGCCGTCCTCTCGCTCTATGCGTCTGGTAGTATCACCGGTATTGTCCTCGACTCGGGTGATGGTGTCACCCACACCGTCCCCATCTACGAAGGTTACGCGATCCCCACGCCATCCTCGGTATTGATATCGCCGGTCGTGACCTCACCAAGTTCCTCATCAAGAATCTGACGGAGCGCGGTTACGCTTTCCACACCGCCGCCTCGCGCGAAATCGTACGTGAAATCAAGGAGGAGCTTTGCTACGTCGCCCTCAATTTCGAGCAGGAGCTCCAGACCGCCGCTCACCCGTCCGCTCTCGAGAGGAGCCACGAGCTCCCCGACGGTCAAGTCATCACCGTCGGCAACGAGCGGTAAATAATCTGTTCGCATGAGGCTGCGCCTAACGTCATCTTTACAGCTTCCGTGCTCCAGAGGCTCTCTTCCAGCCTGCCTTCCTTGGTCTTCAAGCTGCCGGTATCCACGAGACCATGTACGTTATTGACGGCCCCAGCCTCTTGGGCATCGACTAATTGGCTAATTCTCCTCAGATACAACTCGATTAACAAGTGCGATCGAGACACACGTAGGGAATGGCACGGGTCGGGTACGGGTAACCGGAGCGTACCCTTACCCGACCCGCAACGTACCCGTACCCTTGTCTGCGGGTACGGGTTTGGGCGTCTACCCTACCCTCTATCGCGGGTACGGGTGACCCGCGGGTCCAGGCGAGGGTTGTACTATGAGAGACTCTGTACAAGCAGTCCATCTCATGTTAGTTCGAGTAGTATGCGCAAGAACCCGTATGTTGACATGTGTGTTGCACACACGGGCGAACCTGCGGGGGAAAGGTGTACTTGGTGGCCGGCAGTGAGGATACTTGCTGGTTGAGCCACACGCACGCAGCAACGTAGTGGCGGCGACGTCGGACTAGCATGGGGTGCGTGTGTTGATGCGTGTTGCGTGGAGGATTGTCAGCGAAAATGTGCAGGTGTGTCCGTGAGGTGGTTGTGCGAGTGTGTTGATGACTAAACGGTCGGAGCGTCGCGCAGACCGGTGGAGGTGCGGTTGCAGCTAGGTGGTTTGGTACGAGGCGTGCCGCGCGGCATGCGGATCAGCGTCGTGCACAGCGTGAGTGCATATCTAGACTTTACCAATGTCAATACTCGAAAACATACAGATCAGACACAGGATATGAGGCAGGGACATGAGAAACACGGTGGAAGAGGCTCAAGAGAGAGTGTGTATGAGTGGATGAGGCCCGGCGCCCTAATGATGTATGAGGAGGTCTACGGGATGCAATCGCGAGCGGAAGCACCGCGGGCGACCAATGATCACTGGGTGCGCGCAGTGGAGACCGCGAGGAGTGCACGGAAGGCGCTGCGGTGCGTCTGTGTGCGTAGCGTCTTAGCGAGTATGCTACCGCGGATTTCCTAGGGTACTCGCGGGCGGATCTTGATGCGTGCGTGAGGCGGAATGGTCGAGATGTACCGGCCAGGCGGAAACGAACGTGGGCGCTAGCGTGAGCGGCGACGCGTGCGTACTAGTATCACGGCTCAGCTGCAGGCTGTCAGGCCGCCACCACCACCCTCCGCATTTCAGCCTTCTGTGATACGCCTCGTGTTCCCTCGCCCTCAACGCGCCGCCCACTTCTCTTCGCTGACCCGACACTCTCAGCCTCGCCGACGCGTCTTTCGTCCGAGTCCCGCCGGCAGTTCCGAGTCGTCCGCCGCCTTCTCCGCGTTGGGTTGACTCCCCGCGGCGCGAGCCCAATGAGCTCGCATCCCCCTTTGCGCACCTCACATGGTTCGCATCTCATCACTGACTCTGCGGGTACGGGTCAGGGTGCGGGTCAGGCACGGGTACACGAAGCCGTACCCTTACCCGACCCGCACGGGTACGTACCCGCGACCCGCGCGGGTTACCCGTACCCGTGCTATTCCCTAGACACACGTCGCGACTTCTACGGCAACATCCTCCTCTCCGGTGGCACCACCATGTTCCCGGGTATTACGGACCGTATGCAGCGCGAGCTCAACGCTCTTGCGCCTTCGAGCATGAGGGTACGTTAGGCGCTCTCTTACGGTACGGGCCGATGGCTGATTGATGGACGCAACCGTGTACAGATCAAAATCGCCGCTCCCCCCAATCGCAAGTACTCGGTCTGGATCGGTGGTTCGATTCTCGCGTTGTAGGGCCCTGCCCTGTGTTTTCGCGTTTAGAGCTAGATTAGGGTTTGATTAGTCAGCCATGTACTTAGCACAGCGGCAGCCTCTGGGCCTTCCTCAGATTTGACCACCACCTTCACCCTTCATAGCTCATTTCTCCGTGTGTTTGCCACCTTTTCTTGTGTTCTGCTCGCTCTGCTCGACGTCTAGAGTCACCTAGACCGTCTGTTCTGTCGCCTTCGGCTCCAGAGCCTGAGCCCAGCACCCTTGACCCACCTGCACTCCTGGGTTTGTCCTGTGGATTCTCCACTTTTGGGCACCTGCCTGGGCACGACCTCACATTCTGGTGACCACCGCAGGGGGTTCTTGTGGTTGACTGTGGTCTCCAGGTCTCTTGGATGCCAGTTCGTCGGCCTCGACCTCCTCCAGATCTGCAGTCAGAGGCACATCCACACGTTCATTGCGCCATCCATCCCCTTCCCGTTGTCCGTTCGCCTCGATACTGTCGTCCGAGGACAGGAAGAGCCGCCCAGGGAGACCAGGAGAGCGAAGATTCGGCCGCGTCTCCGTCGGTTTTCGTCGTACGAACTTCGTTCCTTTCGCGATCGAAAGCCCTTGCGTCCCCCGTCCTATCACGCCCAACACGCCCGATTTCCGCCGCCGGACGCCCCAGGCCGTTGCGCTCGAAGACGCCGTCCTCCTCCTCCCCATCAAGACATCTCCCACCCCGTTGGTCCGCGACGCCGCCGCCGATTTCCGCACGGCTGGGCTCGTTTCGTGCGCATCGTCCGTGGATTTCCAGCGCGCCCCTCCGTGTCGTGACGCGTGCCGTCGTCGTTGACCTACGTCGCGATCGCTGCCGCCCTCGACCTGGACAGCGCTCTCCAGCCTCGGGCTTCGACTTCGCGCCGATCCCGGCTTCTTTCGCCACGCGAGCGCCGCCGCCTCGAAGTTATCGTCATAGGCTTCTTGGCGATTGCTTCCGCGTCGCAATCGGAGCCCATGTGCTTCCTCGACGTCGCCCTGACCCTTCGCGCCCGTCCATGGACTCCTCCGGCCCACTGTCGCCCTGCCCTTCCCCGAGTTCTTCCCCGTTCGACGTCCGTCCGGGTTTGTTTTGCGCACGTTTCCCCCCTCTTTTCGACGAGCCGCCCCGTTCCGCGATCCGCCCTGCCGTCGTCCCGCTGCGTGTCGTCTTGTGCGACAGAAGAGCGCTCGTCATGTCGCCGACTTGATGCTCCCGTCTCTCGACGGTTCGGAGCTCGTTTGCGACACGGCCGGGTTCCCTCTCTTCTCCTCGTCAAAAGGTTTCCGACGCACCCTCATGCACGCCGGTACGCTCACCGTATCGTCCAAGACCGCCACCGCATCATCGCCTCCTCCACGCTATCTGCACCTTCCTCGACCCTCACGATTTTCAGCACCAAGGCCCCATCTCCAGTCCGTTCCGCCCGCGGTTGGGCACGCGAGCTCCCCTCGTTACCCCTCATTGAACGCGCCCTCGCCGCCGTCAAGAGGCGAAGCCGTTCACCCGTGGTAGCCGATTCCATCTCCTTGCCGCCTCCAGTCACCCTTTAGGCACGAACTCGGCAGGCCGCCTCCCCCGTTCAGCTCCGATCGCGCTGCAAGTTGGAGCGTTGATAGCCCTCGTCACCCCCTTTCGAATGCGCCTGCCGCCATCTCGCACGCTATACTCGTTCGCTCGCGGTGCGCTGTGCAAGAGCGCCCATGGCCAGCATTCCCTTCCGCTCTTTTTGGTGCTCGGTTTCGTCTGTCTCGTCGCCGTAGAAGATATAGCAGGGTTCTTTCGAAACAAGTCTTCACGCCCGTTCGAACGCGATCCTGGACGTACAGTTCCGAAGAGATTTGCATCCCTGACGACGCGATCTCTGTATGTCCCTGGTCTCATCACCTTGCCTCCCTCCGGCCTCCTGCTGTGTCTCTGTCCCTTGCTGTCCCCATTGCTTTGAAGCTCGTCCAATCCCACGAGAGAAGAGAAGATTGCTTTGAAGCTCGTTCCACCACGAGAGAAGAGAAGATTGCTTTGAAGCTCGTTCACCCACGAGAGAAGAGAAGAGAAGAGAAGAGAAGAGAAGATACAAGAAGAGAAGATTCGCAAGAAGGGAAGACGTTTCCCTTCGCCCCCCCACATTCATTGCACCTGTCGCCCCGCCCTTCCTTGAGTTATCCATTGTTTGACGCCCGCTCGGGCTTGTTTCGTGCACACGTTTCCGCTCTTTCCGACGAGCCTCCCCGTTCCACGATCCGCACCGCCGTCGTTGCGCTGCGTTTCGTCTTGTATGACAGAAGGGCGCTCATCGCGTCGCTGACTCGTTGCTTCCGTCTCTCGACGATTCGGAGCTCGTTTGCGACGCGGCCGGGTTCCTTCTGTTCTCCTCGTCGAGACCTTTCCGACGCAAGTTCACGCGCGCCGGTACGCCCACCGCATCGTCCACGACAGCCACCGCATCGTCGCCCTCTCCGCGCTATCTGCATCCTCCTTGACCCCCGCGATCTCAACTGTCACGGCCGCATCTACCGTCCGTTCCACACACGATTTGGCCGCTCGCTCCCCCCGTTACTCTGCGTCGAACGCGCCCCCGCCGCCATCAAGATGCGCAGCCGTTCACCCGCGGCAGCCCCTGCCATCTTCACGCCGCCTCGAGTCACCCTCAGGCCCGGACTCGACACACCGCCTCCCCAGTTCCGCTCCGATCGCGCTGCAAGTTGGAGCGTGGATAGCCCTCGTCACACCCTTTCGAACGCGCCAGCCGCCGTCTCGCACGCCGCACTCGTTCGCTCGCTGTGCACTGTGCAAGAGCGCTCACGGCCAGCGCCCTCTTCCCCTTTTTCCAGTGCTCGATCTCGCCCACCTCGCCTCTGTAGAAGACGCCGCCAGGTTTGTTCGATGCACGCCGTCAAGCCCTTTCGAACGAGAGCCTGGGCGTGGAGATCCAAGGAGATCTGCGTCGATGACGACGTGATCTGCGTACATCCGCCTTGCCACCTCCCTTCCTCCTACGTCCCTTCCTCCTGCCCTCGCATCTCGCCGGTCCCATGTCCGCTTGTCGCGCGAATTGGCACCTAGGTGCGCGTCGAACACCTCGTTCGAACGCCACCTCACGCGTCACGATCCGCGCCCTCCTGGACGTCCGGCAAGGTGTTCTCTGCCACGCCCGCTACGCTCCGATCCCCTCATGTTGCCGACTTCGCCTTGCCATACCGCCGCCGCCGCCGATCTCGCCCGTTCGACGTGGTGTTTGGACGCCAGACAGCCCTCGTTGCCCCCACCCGATTCTTCGCAACGTCGCCTTACCCGCCACACTCGTTCAGTCGCTGTGTGCTGTGCAAGAGCGCCTGCCGCTGGCGCCCCTTATCCCTCTTTCGGGTCCCCGATCTCGCCCATCCCGCCGCCGTAGAAGACGCGGCTGGGCTCGTTCGGTGCGCGTCGTCAAGGCCGTTCGAACGCGCGCTTGGCCGTAGGATTCGGAGGAGATTTGGTTGGGTGGTGCTTGGATTTTCGTAAGTCCGTTTTGCATTGCCCCCACCTCTTGCGTCCCCCAGTCTCGCCCTCGCATCTCGCCCGCTCCGCATCCATTTGGCACGAGATTTGGCACGCTCGTGCGCTTCGATATCCCCGTTCGAACGCCCCCTTTCGTTTTGCGATCTGCGCGCCCCGATCTTCGGCGCGGCCGTCTCTGCTGCGGCCGCCACGCTTCCTCCCCTGCACATCGCCGACTTCACCACGCCTCCCATGAACTCGATACGCTATCCCCATATCCATTACGTACTCGTCGACTCCCTGCTAGTTTCCCTTTCACCCCTATCGCTTACAGCCGCCCCCTTTCTCTTTCTGAAGGCTTATCGCTTATCGATCACGCTCGCTCGCTCGAAAGGAAACCCGGACCTCTACGATATCGCTCGAAAGGATTCACGGACCTCTACGATATCTCGCGCGCTCATTTACTTGACGATACTCTCGCGTTTCGCCTAGCAGTTGACCGAGGACGGTCAAGATTTCAGTTGGGGGGAGATGTAGGGCCCTGCCCTGTGTTTTCGCGTTTAGAGCTAGATTAGGGTTTGATTAGTCAGCCATGTACTTAGCACAGCGGCAGCCTCTGGGCCTTCCTCAGATTTGACCACCACCTTCACCCTTCATAGCTCATTTCTCCGTGTGTTTGCCACCTTTTCTTGTGTTCTGCTCGCTCTGCTCGACGTCTAGAGTCACCTAGACCGTCTGTTCTGTCGCCTTCGGCTCCAGAGCCTGAGCCCAGCACCCTTGACCCACCTGCACTCCTGGGTTTGTCCTGTGGATTCTCCACTTTTGGGCACCTGCCTGGGCACGACCTCACAGCGTCGCCCTCGACGTTCCAGAACCTGTGGTGTTCGAAGCAGGAGTACGACGAGGCCGGCCCCAGCATCGTCCACCGCAAGTTCTTCTAAGCACAGCAATGGAGAAAACGAAGGTGCTCACGCTGTCGGTGTAGTCGGGCCCCTACCGTACGCTGCCGTTCTTATGTTCCCCGCATCCATCACCGCACTCAGCCTGGGATCGTCATCTCTGGACGGATGGAGTTCTCCTTCGCATTGTGACGACGGAGGGTCACGCTTGTATTATGTCGCTTTGGGATGTGTACGTTGAAGGACTGAATTGAATGGTTTCGGTTTAACTCTGAACCTTGGCTCGTTGAGGGTCATATCGGCCATGCTCGCGTCATCGGCCCTGCAGGAGTTGCGCACGACCGCCGTGGATTATGGTATATAGTTAAAGTGCGCGCGCGCACAGGGAAGTCGTCCCTGCCGCGGGCCATCGCATCCACAAATACAGTCTCCAGCAATGTGCGCAGATATTTCGATAGCTTCGCTGGCTGACAATCTCCGGATAGTGCTACAAATTCAGATCGCGTCGGCATCTGCACCTTCAGCGGGCAAAGAGAACGGCGTACTGAGCTTGGTCGTGTTTGGCGGCAGGTGGTCCGTGACCGGGTTCTGCACATCACATGAGCCTCAGTTGTACGCGACCGCGCGGCTGACGCACCTTGATCGCCTTGAGCAGCCTCCCAGGGCCGTTCATGCCGCGCATGGAGGGCTTGTGCAGCAGCTGGACTGGAGGGACGGAGGGCGCGTGGCCCGATGCACGGGGGGGGCGGGGAAGGCAAACGCACCCATGAGCCCGCTGACCCGCCTAAGGTGCGGGGGATGCGGACGGGCGGATTGACCTCAATGGGGACGCCATTGGCCGTGTGGGAGTCGAGCTGGGTGAGCAGGCATTGCGGCGCGTGTTATGGCCTGCTCCGCCTGTCTGGTTACGAGCTTCGGCGCGCGCCCGGTGCTACGGACACTTAGCATACAATCGTCCGCCACCATTAGCTTTATATACCGTTCCCGCACCTACTGTGTCGCTACGCGATTGCCTCCTGGCTCCTCCCTGTCGCCTCTCCTTCCCGTCTCCCCGCTACCGCGAGCCTCTCCGAGGTCAAGCGCGTCCTCTAATCCGATCCCACCTTTCCGCTCGTCTCCGATTCGCCCGACCTCCGCGCTCCCGCGCTGGGAAATGTTTCCTTTCAGAAAGGCAGACAAACACTTGAACAATCGGCCTATGAGCTAAACAGGCATGCTTTTTACTGCACGAGTCATGTGGTAACAAAGGGGTGAAATGCCACCCAAGGAGAAATGCCATTGGAATGCTAGTGAAAGGAAACATTTCCCTGGCACATCCCCGCAGGGGCAACAGAGGGGAAAGCTTGCCCGTGCCGATATGGGAAATGTGTGCGGCATGCCCGCGATAGTATACATTTCCCACGAATATCCCGCCACTCGACATTGTGGGGGATTGACACAATATTCAACAATATCCCGTGCATTTCCCGCGCCATTATTCCTGCCTATGCCCGAGGTGTCCCCTCTCGGCGGAAAGTCAATTCAAATTGGCGCACGGGCCACTCGCCGGCCCGGGCACGTGGATGTCGCGTGCGCGAGTTCGACTGCGGCCAACTCGCACTTTGCTTTACCCCCTCACGTTCGAGCAAGAAAGTACCGAATCTCATTTCCACACGTGTCCCCAGAGAGCTACGCATCTTTTCGACCCGGATTCGGTCTCCCCCATGCCCGACACTCCCCTTGACGACTCATTCCTTGCCCTATTATTCAACCACATTCGCGGCGGGGTACAACCCACCGGTCCCAGTTCGCAGTCTGCGAGTGACGACTCGTACGAGTCTTGGCACACGGCGCGAACGAGCTTTTCCTCTCAGCGGTCCTCCGATGACCCGTCAGGTCCCCCTGCATCTTCATCGGGCACTCAACCTCAAGCTCCCGCTTCTCATACTATCCCCTCGCCTGCGTTGTCTACACCTGCTCCTCAAGGATCCCACGCTTACCCACTCCAAGAGCCAAGCAACAGCGCGTCGCCATTCTCTTCCATCCAATCCCAGACTTGCCGGCAGCGTTTGCTCCGCGTGAATCCGCTCCTTTCGCGTTCCAGCAGGGCCCAAACGAGGATCACCTACGACATCATGGATCGGCCAGGTCCCGGGAACGTCCTCGATCGCCTCACGCGGCACCCATTTGCGCTTGCCCCGCTTCTGCAGCCGGCAACATACCCACCTACAGCGCGCCTCATCCTGCATTCGGACAAGTTTCCAAATGTGATCGTTGTGGACGCCAATGTAAGCAAGATGAACACCAGAAATCACGGTGGCGGTGGGATGAGAGGGGTGGGTGAAGCTCTCGGTCCGTCGACAGTATCAGTGGGCAACAAAGACAAGGAAAACCACGACGACAATGATCGAATCAACAATGAGGGGGGCAAAGGCAAAGGAAAGAGGAAGGGCCACGAGGCGGTGGACGGCATGCAGTACGTTTCCATCCTCGACGTCCTGCATGCCGTCCACGCCGGGTTGTCCATACCGTTCTCCCCCACTGAATGGTCTGCCCTCGGCGGTGCGAAAAGCTGGAAGGCCGCTAAAGCCTACGGTCGCCGGATGCAGGCGGGTGGTAAAGGCGATTGGAAGCGGGGCGTCTGTCACCTCGACCTACTCGAAGGGGATACTGCGTTGGTTGGCATTGAGTCTCTCAGTGTCGCCAACGCTGGCTCTTCTGTCGGGCTAGGCAGAGTTTTTTTTGGGCGTCCGCTGTGAGACCCGTTAAGCATTGTGTTTTGGCATTAGATGCGCTGTATGGACGTGACCATGTCAAGTCCGAGAACCACTGTTCTTGTACTGTTGTAGGATGGACCGGGTCGACGCTTCCATCCCTGCTCGGCTAGTGGTTGTTTGATACTGTACATACTTCGTCATCTACTCTCTAGTAGAGAATACCCCGCCTCTTTTGTAATCTGGGCGCCCAGAGCTGTGTCCCAGTTGCCTTGACCTTGCCAACCAATCTCATGTGTGGAGTGAACAGGCAGCAATAGCGCCAGCTCGGTGAAGTCATCTGTAGTTCGATCCGTACATCCCAGCTATTACACCAACGCCTCTCACGGCGTCTCCGCGATCCGCACCACCAGCTTCACCCCGCTCACCTTCCCCTCCAGCACCCTCTTCGCGCCCTCCGGTATCCCGCTCAAGCCCCCAGGGAGCACCTCTACCCGGTTCGGCTTCACCGTCCCGTCCGCGAGCCACCCCGTCAGCCGCCTGTACACCTCGACGCCCAGCGCCTTGTTCGCCGGCATCTGGAAGCTCGCGAACGGCCGCGCGACCCGCTTCCCGTCGCCCTCCCTCTGCACCGGCGCGAGCACCTCCGGGCCCGCGCGCGGCATCACCGAGACGAAGCCGCCGTGGTCGCCGAGCGCAGCGTACGCGAGCCGCTGCGTGTCCTCCATCCCGATCGCGTCGTACGCGAACGCGACCGGCGCGCCCGACGCGGCGGCGGAGACGGCGGCGAGGAGCTCGGGGGTGGGGAGCGCGCGGTCGACGACGTGCGTCGCGCCGAGGGACCGGAGGAGCGTGGCGTGCTTCGGGGAGGCCACGGCGATGATGGGCGAGAAGCCGTTCATGCGCGCAGCTTGGATGACTGCGTGCGTGTTCAGCGGTGAGAAGGGTCGGAAGGGTCGACAGAGACGCACCGAATTGGCCGACGGAAGAGGAGCCACCGACGATCACCGCAGGTTTGCCTGCGTACTCGGTCGTGCCGCCCTCCTCCCAGGGCGCGGGCAGGCCAATCGAGGTCGGGCCCTCTAGACCCCACATCCCCGTTACCGCGGTTGCGAAGCCAAGCGGGATGGTCGCGGCGTCTTCAAAGGACATGCTATCGGGAATCTTAGCTTGTGGTCAGCTGGGTAGTTCGGACAGAAAGATTACACTCGCAGGTGCGCACCTTGGCGACATTGTCTCCATGCATCACGCTATATTCTTTGTGACCCGCATTGGGAGGCGCGAATCCACCCGGGCAGAGACTGTCAACGGCGAGAAGCCAAGCCCGTTAGCGACTGCCTAGACAGAGTCACAAGGAGAAAGCTACGCACATCCTATCGCCCTCCTTGACGCTCGTCACGTCCGCGCCAACCTCCTCAGCGACGCCAGCGACGTCAAGCCCGCCGAGGAACGGGTAGTTCTGGATGAACGGCGCGCCGAACGCCTGAATCCTGGCATCCGCGGGGCAGATGCCCGCGGCGACGATCTTGACGAGCACCTGGTGCGCCTCAGGGGTCGGGACGGCGAAGTCGCTGACGAGCTTGAAAGGTGCCTTCTCGGCGGGCACGATGAGTGCTTTCTGCGTGGTCGGAGCCATAGGTGTTGGTTCAGGGTTGTCTTGGAGGAGTAGATGCTGATGTTGGAGCAGCACGAACGCACTATATAGATTGTCGAAAAGACTTCATACGTTTTCCTCAGCATTGCATGATGTGTAAGCTAGATTCGGTCGTCTGTGGGTCCTTCAAGAGTGGGATCACGTACATACAGATGCCGGTCATAAAACGCCTCTGCGTTTCCTCGCTTTGTCACACCTTGAGGAAGGTTCTGTGGCAAGTGTTGGGCCGACGCGTGGTTTTGCAATTTCGGAGGTCGCCCCGGGCGGCTATTGCGCGCCCGGGAGTCGGCTTCCAGTCGGTCGCTGGAAAGGCATCGTAAAAGCCCGTGTCTAGACGTTCGTTGCGCAAGCTTGGCAAGGTTTGGCACTCATTCATCGGTCCGGCTGGGAGACTGGCAATACCCGGGGTGGGTCGCACTTACTCATTACTCAATGAGTAGTTGATGCCAGCTGCATGCAGCACGAGTCTCCCTCCGACTAGTCAGATCTATAAGTGAGTCGCTCACGGAGGGAATGTGGGTCGACAGCGAAGAGGGAACGGCTTCTGCATATAGAACAGGCGACAGCAAGATCGCTACACTCGCACCTTACAGTAACACATTCAGCTACCCTCTGTTCCCCACAACGCAGTCCTAGCTCCCCGTCCATCCCTTGGGCTGGACCACGAGGCACGTCAGTAGCCCATCTCGCCAGCTCATCAAGACGGGCGACGTACCTTGACCTCATCCCCGACCGTCTTGATCCACACAGCCGGCCGTCCCGCCGTCTTCGCGCCCTCCTCGCCCTCCTCCCACGTGTAGCTGACCCCGACCGCGAGCTTCGTGCCGTCGCAGTTGAACGCGACCGACGGGACCGGTGCGTTGTACTTCGGGTACTGCCGCAGTCGCTTCTTCGACTTGTGGTCCCAGATCGACACCGTCCCGTCCGACCCGGCGGATGCGAACGTGTTGAACCTGCGCTCCAACATCAGCACATGATGAACAGAGTGCCTGAGCAGAAGAGGGATGCTCACTTGGGGTTGAAGGCGAGCGAGTTCACGGGCCACACATGGTCGACGTCGTCAATCGTCTGCCGGTGGCACTTGAACGCGTACTTCTTCTCCTGCGCCGCGGCGCTCGGGTCGAAGTACTCCACCGCGATACGCCCCTCCACCGAACCCGTCGCGTACCCTGCGCACGTCCATCCCGTCAGCACGTGCTTCTCCCTCTACCACGCATGAAGACAGCCAAATCACGCACCTTGGCCGTCCGCCATGCACGCGAGCGCGCGTGTCATGAATTTCAGACTGCTCTCCCGCGTCTGTGCCGGCGCGTCCATCTTGCGCACGTCGTAGATGTGGAACAGGCGGCTCGCCATCGCGACGACGAGTATGTTGCTCACCAAGTCGGTGTGGTAAATCCTTTCAGGGAGCTTGTGCGTCGCTTGCTCCTGGTTTGCTGCGCGCGGGTCCCAGAAGCGGATCGTGCGGTCCCAGGAGCCTGTCACGAGCGCATCTGATGGAAGGCGAGGACGCGTAAGGGGGTGGATGGACACAAGAAAGAAGGGAGAAATTTGGAGATGGAGAACGCACTTTGTTCGCGGGCCCAGTTCATGCTCGAGATCGCGTCTGAGTGCTGGCCAAGATGGCTCACCCTTTCCGTTTCAAGGTCGAGTCTAAGCAGAGATGGGATGGGGGGAGGGACGTTGGTTTGCATATGCGAAATTTGGCGAACAGAAAACTCACTCTCGCACCGAAGTATCCAGCCCTCCACTGAAACCATGGTTCGCGTCCGACCAGCATGTGGTCAGCACGGCCGCGCGGTGGTCGAACTTTGCGCGTTGTTCGTTTTTCGTGACATCGTAGAACCGGACTGTCTGAGGCAAGTTTGAGGATGGATGTGCCACCACGAAGCAAGAGAAGACGAGACGTACCGTGTCCCAAGACGATACAAGAAGATGTGAGGGGTCGTGTGGAGAAAAGCGGACGGCCGACACGCTATCGAAGGGCGGAGAGACGAGTTCTTGATCTGAAAGCCAGAGTCAGCGTAGGACGCATACAATGAGGAAGAACTTGTACCAGCCATGAGAGGGGTGCAAATGGAGCGGAGGAGTCGTCAAAAGGGAACGCTGGAGGAGAGCGGGGCGCACGAACTGTGTGTCTTGGTCGAGATCGAGGAAAGGGAAGCGTGAGGATGGAAAACGCGGTCCGGCGTGCCAGGAGGAGAGCAAGCGCGCAAGCGCACCACGGCGGAAGTTTGCTGTTGTTTGTCCGTATTAGGATCCCAGGCTTTGGTAAACAACCGCTTTCGCTTACGCTTCTTTGGGCAGTGCACCGGCGTCACGGCCCCTGCGCTTCGGTCAATGTCGCGTTGCAGCGTCCATTGCAGACAACGTATGAAGTAAAATATCATAAATGTCATGAAAACTACGGATACATAGGGGCATTCGAGAACCATGGCCTACCAGAGACTGTCTGAAGCACTCAAACCACAGCACCAATTGCAATAAGTAGAAGATCACCGCAAACGGCCCATCACAACCACGAACACCTCATCCGGCGCAAACCCAGGAGGCACCTCCACCGGTGCAGCCAGCCGGATCCCCACAAACGCCCTCGCGTCCCCGAGCACGTCAACCTTGCGCACCCCAAACCGCATGTCGCGCTCCCTCTCGCGCGCGTCCCGGATCGCCCCGTGCCGCCCCTTGAACGCCCGGTCCGCCTGCGCCCTCAGGGGCCCCGGCATCGCGGCGTACTCGCGCGGCGGGAGCGACGCGCGCAGCTCGCGGTGCAGCCGGTCGAGGACGTCCCCGACCGCGATGAAGTCGAGCGGGAGCGGCGCCCACGCCGGCTGCGGAGAGGGCGCGACGTGGACGGCGAGCGGGAGCCCGGGGAAGAGCAGGACCATCCGGCGGAGGACGAACGGGGACGGGGACCCGCGTGGGCCGCGGCGTGCGGCGGGGGACGCGAGGTCGGTGTTGGTGAGCGTCGAGCGAGAGCGGGAGCGAGAGTCCGCCGGGTCGTCGATGCTGCCGAGTGCGATTGTCGACGGTCGCTCGTTGACGTCCCAGATGAGCGTCGGGGGGTGTGAGAGCGAAGCAGGTGCGACGAGGAGCGGATCCAGGACGAGGTCGGGCGCAGCGAGAGCGGTATAGGGCTTGTGGGGGGAGATGCGAATAGGTATGACGGGTGGTGACGGGCGGGGGTGGTGCTGTGTCAGAGGAGGGTAGTCGACCGACCGCGGTAGGGATTGGCTAAAGAGCTGCGGTGGAGTCCAGGGTCCTGGCGAGGAGCCATACGATGCCGTCGAGGAGGATGGCGACGAACTCCTTGGAACGGCAGAGGCGTCCACGAAGCGGACGGTCTTCTGCTGAGAGTCAGGCATCGCGTGAGGTTGGTGTGGAGGAATAGAAGCAGGTATCGAGGGTGGTATGCAGTGAGAGCAGTCGAGGGAGCCAGAGCTATATACACCAGAGTAGACGCTAGTTATAGTCGGTGTGTGCGCTGAAATGGTGGGAGTATGAGGGGGAGGGGCGAGCAACTGACCTAGCACCTTGCCAAACCGGGCTTATATGGAACATAGAGCCTGCGCACAAAGGCCCTTGGCGCCCTGACTCGCCCGCGCGGACAAGTCGGACCCGCCTCGCTATGCCTCTTCGACGACGACTGCCACGACACGCGTCGCCCCCTCGCAGTCTCCGCGCACCACCACACCGCCCGCCCGCAACCACGGAAGAGGAGGACGCCTCCTGCTCGCCTGATCGGGACTCATGGCAGAGTTCGCGGGAGGCATCAAGGATCCGCGTGGGAGGCTACACGCGGCACGAAAGGGCGGCCGTCGTCGGAACACGAGGTACGCCGACGACATTTGCCCCGACAGCGCCATTTCGGACATGATCAAACGGGCGGGGTCGGTGAGCACCGCCAGGAAAGGCACTATGATTGATGGTGCGCATCCCGACGGCGGTGCACTGGGCGCTGGAAAGGCGCCTTTGCGCAGATACCTGCAAAGACCAGTTAGTGCAGCTTGGAGAAAATGTAATGCGGTACATGCTGTGGACCCACGGAGCATGGACCAAAGGCGCGTCGGCGCAGCGGATATGGTTGTTGGGGTGATTTCAAAGGGCTGCGCTGCGAATTTGGAAGGTGCCTTTCTGAGACACGTGGGGCTCTGAAAGGCTGCTTCTGCGGTACGTGTGTGCTACAATAACGCACATTGTAAATACATACCATCGCAGGCCATACAAGATCAGTGCGAAACGACCGCAGGTGGTGGAAGCAGACAAAGATGCACGTCGCTTGCGGCGCCTCGTGGGGCCGACCAAGGTCGACGCCTGATGGCCTCGTGGACGGGCGCTTGACTGTATATGGCAATTTTGATGGGGCGTGGACTTGCCGCGCATTTCGCCTCGTGTGTTCTTCGTGGCCGACCGCCACCACCACCATTCCATACAACTCACAACAAAGGACACAACCTCGTTTGTAGCCACCTGGCTTCTTTCAAGACCGCCCACCTTGCGCCCCTTGCCATGGCGTCAGTCTCAGATCGCTCCCATCGTCTCTGGACTCAACTGATCGATACGTCACGACTCACCCAGCCGTTTGTCAGCAGATTTCCAACCGCTCTTGAAGAGTCATTGCCGCCCCTGACTTTTCTTGGCTCTGCGCAAGTAGCATTCGGCTCCACCTGAACACGTTGTACCCAGCACTCGCATACCACCATCTCCGACATATGCTGATCCGATTGTACCGGCCAAACCTATCGTCTACATTGAGCATACTCAAGCTTCTAAACCGTCGTACACTGTGAGCTCATTCAAAACTCTGAGGCGTTACATCGTTCATCGGCCCAATCGTAAAACTCATACATGCGCAACGTCAGCACCCCTCCTACGAGTCCACCGCTTCCGTCTCGACAACAAACACGCTCGAGTCTCCATCCATCCTCACATCGATAGGCGCCTCTCCCCGCTTCGCAGGTCGAATACCAGCAAACCGCCGCCTCCGACCCAGGAAGTCGATGGACTTCACTGCCTTTTCGGTGAGCGCGTTCGTCTCTGTCCAAAACCCTTCGGCTCGCCTCCGCGAGGCCACACGGGAGGCCAAGTGTGTCTGCTCCCGCGGTGACAGCGCCGCCCACTCTTCGGGAGGGAGCGGCGCGTGCAGCGCGTGGTGCAGCGTGCCCAGGACGTCCCCCACGGTCACGTAGCGCGGTGCGTGTGAGTCGTGGCCGTGGTGGCGGTCACCGCTGTCGACGCCAGTGGGGTGCACGACGATCCGCAGCGGCAATCGAGGGAAGACGAGCGTGATGGAGCGCGCCGGTCGCGGCTGCGCGGTGCCGTGGCGGGTATAACCGGCGGCGACGTCGAGCACGGCGGCGGGGCGCTGCAGGTCGGCGGCGGCGACGCGGGTGGAGGTGCGCTCGTTGGCCAGGTCCCACTCGAGGCGCGGACGGGAGTGCGAGGTTCCTGCCACGGCGAGGAGCGGGTCGACTATCGGGGGCCGAAGGCGCGTAGGTCCGCGGTGCGACTGAGGCGGGTGCGCCGTCGCGGTGGGGGCGAGGATATGCGCGCCGATGCGCGGGTGTGTGGGGACGGGGGCCGCGATGGGCGCGTACGCGTACGACGCAGAGGGTGGCGGAGGGGCGGCGTGGAGCCGCGACGGGCCTGCGCGGGGCGATTTGACCTCGGGGAGGGGCACGACGCCGGGTCGCGGAGCTTCCGGCGGTGTGCAGCGGGGGCGGGGCATGCCCGGCGGAGGCGTGGCTATCATCGACGGGGACGGCAGCGAGAGCACGGGTAGTCCAAGGGGGGAAGGACCGACTCTCGACGACGAGGCCTTGGCGCATGGGACGAGGTACAGTGCCCAAACGACGGGGTACGCCTCCCCAGTGGTATAGGTGTATGCGGGGTACGTGGGCATGGTGGGGAGCGGAAAGTTGAGGGGAGAGGGCCGCGTCGAGTGCCTGGCCTTTTATAGGAGGGCTGCGGGGGTGCGCACGTTATGGGCGTGACCGTGTACTTCGCGGCAGTGTCACGAAGAAGGATCAGTCGTGGTTGAGGCGCCCTACGCGCCTGTTGCACTCTGTTCTCCTTCTCACATGCTCTCTGCTTTTGGGGGCGGCAGGAAAGCATCACCACGCTTAAGAGTATTCTTTTGAAGTACGACAGCGCCATCCGCACTAATCTCAGCCGGTCGACTGGGGGGATTTATGCTAGCCGGGTTTCGTGTCGAGAATCCAAGTACGGACAAAGTGCTCCTCATGGGCACCGCGAAGCCGTCCACATAAGCAGTCTGTTACACATACGCTTAATAGCGAAGTGCATGGAAGCCGACGGGAGGACATTGCCTTCCCACCACACCCTGTGTAATAGAGTTCACAAACTGCCCTTTTCGTCGCAGCCCGCCATCGATCCTCCGGGACCGTTTTCGTGATGTTCCCAGGGTGGCAGCACGTCCTTTTCTGCGCCAGCCTTAATATTAAGCGCTGTTTCCTCTATATCACCTGCTGTCGCCAATTTGCAGGCGCAGCTTCACCCGTCCGTACGGAGATGACTACTGTGCTGATACGGCATACCGTTGAGAGCCATGGGTGTCGCGGCTGGGCTCGTCAGTCCAGGTGATATCGAAGATATGTACGTGCATCGCAACGTAGGACGCGCCTCGTGGGGAGTAAGAAGTCATACCTCGGCACCCATGTGGACATGGTAGGACGGCAAAATTGAAGTGAGAGCGTTCAGTGCTTCGGACGCATTGTGAATTAGATTATAGCGCGTAAACACACACCCGGGCGGTGTCACAAAGCGGAAGTTGTGTCCAACGCGCCTAGCGTGTTTCTCCACTTCGCGCTCTATTTCCCTCTCACGAGTCCGAGTGTAAGGAGGTACAAGGCCGCAGGTCGGGGGGAGTCATCGGAGGTTACTGCACCGTTGGCTCGAGAACGGAAGCACACCTTCTCGAGGCCGCACTAGTTCCGGAACAGCCAGCCCCGTAAGTCTACGCGTACGACGGCATTGCTCTCCTAACACGGCCGGTGCTACAAAGTTCACCTTCCTGTTTCGTCATAAGCACTTTCATGCAGGCCAATTTCGCGGTATTCCCAGGGTTATAGACGGTCTGAAACGTCCTAAAGTTGGGAGGCTCCACGTCCACTTCTCACCTGTCGAGCACCGGGCGATGAGACTTTTCCGTAGGTGGTGCGTTCCCAGAAAATTTCTGGCGCGCTATCCGGTTCATACCAGTGCTGAGAAGGCGCAAAAACAGCGGTTATAAGTCCTTTATAAAAAGCACACAGTATCCGACACCATCTCGAAGGTGTAAAGTGGATCAATATCATGCGGTGCACGGGAACAGACATGTGTCTCGGCTTGGGTGGACTCGGTACAAATCCTTCGGTCATTTAAAGTACCATCACCTCTCGTGCGGACCAAATTCCGCTGTTCTCCAGTACCAACACAGCGGAAGACGTCGACAAATTAGACCGAATCTAGAACATCCGCAAGAGGTCTGCGGGCACTCTTCGTAGGATGCGGATCGCGGTGAGGAAGAAGCTTAGCCAGGCCTCGGGACCGGTTGAGTCAGGCTCTTGCCACGGCAATACCGGTACCAAATAATCAAGACGCGGACGTGCCGTCGACCAGTCCCTCACCCTCCGACGCCCCCGTGCAGGGATGCGGCGTGCGCTCCGTCAAGAACCAGGCACTTACTTGGTGGTCCGACTTAGCGACGGTGGTCCACTCCTCGCTTGCAGAAGCGTGTCTAATCTCCCTTCCCATGCGGTACACGTCAATTACAGATGAGACATCGATAACCCCTGGTGGACAAGGGACTCACATGCGCAGTGGCCGCTCGTCCTTCCGGGAAGACTTCAAGCTTCAAGGGATATGCCGGCGACGGCTCCAGGATCCTCCGTGAGACACGGACCTGTCGATATTACTAGTACTACTCTCCTCACGGCTTCCCTATCCACAGGACGAGGCGCGTGCCGGGTCGTGCGCTTTCGCGCACCCGTGCCGGCGCTCGTTCACAATGTGATGCCCGCGCCCCGACTGCCACCTGGGCCCCACCCTTGCGGCGAGTCGCCGCCGCAGAGCGCCGCCCCCGTCGGCGCCCTAGCGAGTCGGCCACTTCCCCGGCGCTCGCTGCCCCCCGAAAGAAAGACCGATGGAGGCAACGCGGCTGTTCCGCCCGCCGCGCCCGCGACGTGCACGGGGACCGTTCTGTGATGTCAGCGTCCACGGGCGGTCGCGGTCACCACCAGGCTGCGCACCGAATCCCCCGCTCCACGATCGCCAGCCGGGCGGGTGGACCAGACCAGCGTAAGTACGTGCCGACGGACGCGTCCGTGCGGCGTGCGCGTGATCTTCGCGCAATGGCACGCACCGCCCGTGCCCGCCAGGCGCCGCTACGCACGCGCGCCCCAGTTGGGGACCGCCGTTGTCGTCCGTCGAGGGCTCCCGCGGCCGAACGAAGAGCCGTCGGCGGAAGCGGCGGGGCGAGCGGTGTTGTGGTTCGTGGGCGCGCGCGCACAATGACGTGTACAGCCCGGGCGGGCGCCTTCCCTCAGGCACCCGGAGGAGCCATAACGCACCGTCGCGGAGGCAGTTCGCGACTTCGGGTCGTGGACTTGCCAGATCGGATCCGCAGGGCGAGCGATTGGACGCGGCGGAAAGATAAACGCTAGAATTTGCGCGTTCCGCGCGGCGCGTGCTGCAATAGGGCTTTAGAAGCGTGCGCGCGAACCAAGCCAGCCACGGGAGAACGGCGAGCGTGTGCGGCGCACGTACAAGGTTCGTATCGCGCGGCGTGTCGCAGCTGGGTTGGCCGCGCTTCTCGGGGACAAGAAGCGCAGGACGGGCGCCCGGTGACTGACAGAGTCCTTGCGTACACCACCGAGCGTCGCGAGCGGGCGTCCGCACGATGTCCAAGGCAGGGATGGCGGCAGGGGCGGGTACGTGAGCGCTTGAGCACTGGGTGTGGTTCGTCGGACGTCTTCTTTCGTGTTTATCGCTTGCGGAGGTGATCGGCCGCCGGGGCTGCGGGCCGTGGCGCAGGAGAAGGCATCCTAGAACGGAGAGGGCTCACATCTCGAGACTGGAGACGCTGCTCATCGAGGAGACCCCGTACGACGCATGGAACGCTGCGCGCGCCGGGAGTGGAAGTCCAGCCAAGCCCCCTGCGCAGTGCTGCCGCCAGCGGACGAAGACAGTACGGTCAGCCATGGAAAACGACAAAGTGAGGTACTAAGCATTCGGAGCGTACAAGGTTCGCGCAGTTCGTGGTCGCGGCGGGTGATGTTGAACGCGGTAAGTACACCGCGGACTACGCGTGAGAACGCTCGGCATACTCGGCCACGGGCCGCCGAGCGGCTCGGCTTACCTAAGAGCGTCTAGCCGTATGGCGCGCTCTACGGAACGCCACTGCATGGCATGCACGTCTCCGATCGTGCATCCCCCGTTCCAGAGAGCTATCTCTAGCTACTCTATGATACCGTAGTGTAGCCCCGTTTCTTTGCTCTCGTTTCAGCCTCTCTCGTGTACTGTACAGTAGCACCAGCCACTCGTTCGTACCCTGTATATATACCAGAGTATCCCGGCCTGCTAATACACAGTTCCTTTTACTACTACACTAAGTGCGAGACCTCGAACAGGCTCTACTAAGCTACAGGTGAGATGTCGCGCCCACTAGCGTGAGGCTACCGTCTCAACAGGTTATGAGCCCTGTTCGCACAGCAAACGGAGTAACATTCGTAAAGGGTTTCGGCACAGTACTCATCAACACCGCAAGCGCACTTGACGGCGAACGTTGCGCCATACGGCTGCACCCCGTCAACTACCTACCTAATCTAGGTGGACGTCTCATTTCACTCGGATCCTTCTTACAAGAAGGAATGTCAGCGCGCGCAGATAAAGCCGCGCTTACTATAGTCAAATCGAACGGAAAACCGTTACTACGGTTCTCACCAAGGAAACCTGGGGATTCAATCTATATCCTCTGGGCAGTCCCGCCCGAGGACGCGTTCGCTGTATCGCGATCTGTGTTCAAGCTCGACTATGAGACTATGCACAGACGTTTCGGGCATCCCTCAATTGATGTCTTGAAGCACGCACGAAACCATACAGATGGTTTTGGCAGCATCATCTTCCCAGATGAAGCGCCACTATGCAAAGGATGCGCAGAAGGAAAAATGCACTCTCGCACCTTCCCACCCTCCTCCGCTCGCGCAAAGCGCGTATTCGAAACGATACACTCCGATCTCAAGGAGTTCCCCGTCCTGTCGTATCACAAATATAAGTGGATTATCACTTATGTTGACGACTACTCAGGCTTCGCCTGGACCATGTTTCTGCGCAAAAAGAGTGCTGCGTTTCATGCGACCAAGCAGTTCATCGCCGCGATCAAGAATCAACTTCATCAGGAAAACCCCCACTTGCAAATTGGTGATAACACCACTAATCTTGGGGCTAACATGAGTCTAATTGTGTAATGTCGAAGTAATCTGCATAACGTCAACGTAATACACAAACTTCGCACTAATGGAATCGTAGGAGTGCTTATTCACAGTAATGGAACTGCACAAGTGTTCATCTGCACTAAAGTAGATCCTGTGAAAGACCAATATCACCAATTTGCACGCATCTACACCAGTAGATAGAAAGCAAACTAATCACCGACTAATTTGAACACACTCTAACAATTCCAAAGGGAGGGTATATTGCTGCGAGTTTGAAAAGGGATCTACTACAACAAGTCGGTGAACACGATAGGCAATGAGCGCCATGACATGCTGCCCTCGTGCTTGTCATGCCCATCGCCGTGCAGACCGCCAGCGCATGGTGGCAGCGCACCCGCACAGCAAGTGCGAGAAGCGGGCAAGAAAGACCTTGGTGTGGCCTATCAGCATTGTGTCGACTACCTAATCTACCTCCACCTCAGCGTCATGCATGTCCACATCAGCGTCCACATCCTCGCCCTCCGCATCTGTGCTCATCGTATCGGACACGGATCATTTCGAGCTGCGAGAGGTTCCGCAGCCCGCATTCTTCGCTTCGGCTGTGGGGTCAAGGTGCGGGATTGACCCATTCGGCTTGTGGGCAGAGGACGGGTGGCACCGGCGGTCGTCGTCATCGTCGTCCTGCGGGAGCGTGGTGATGCCGTGCGGGGTGGGGCTGCGGTGAGACGAGCAGTGGTACGGCGATGCGCCGTTCTCGCAGTTGTGATCCCGGTCGCGATCTTGCCAGGAGTAGACGCCACTCGAGGAGAGTCCGGTCAGGTCGGGGGCGCGCGATGAATTAGAAGGGTGGATGGGAAGGGTGTCGGTCCAGTGGACGGAGCGGTCTGAGCCTGAGTGCGAGCTGCCCCTCTTGGTGTGCGAGCCCGGGGCCGCTTGTGGGGCACCCGAGGGGTAGATCGCCGCAGGCTGGTCGTGGAGGAGGGCGTTTAGGCTCATGGAGTTCGACGTCTTGCGACGTTCAACGTGTTTCAATTTCTTGCGGCATCTTCGGAGCGCTTCAGGAGAAGAGTGCAAGGGCGATGTAGGGGAGTTACATACCGATCGCAGATGGTGCCAGGGCCCTTAGGACCAGGCCCCCACCTCTCAACGCACTTGCCATCCTTGATGCGGCCGGTGTGTCCACACTGACGGCAGATGCGCTGACCCTGGCTGTTGGTCATAGGGAATCCGCAGTCTCCGAAGGTGGCCATACCCGGAATGGAACTCCCATTTGGACCTGCAGGACGGTCAGCATCGCGCAAAGTGGCCACATAAGAGAGCCTTACTTACCCATCGTCATGATGCTTCCGTTGCTTCCGAAGACGTCCAGCTCGCGCTTCCTGACGCTTGGGCCCATTTGCGGAGTCATGAAGATGTATTGCGTCGTCTGTGTCTGATCTGACAGCAGGTGCTGGCTGCCGTGTATGGCTGTCTCCGGGTGACTGGAGTGCACAAGGATGTCGGACGCACACCCACGCATGCCGTAGTCAGCGCCTCTGGGCGACGAAGAGCGTCCGCGCGAACCCTGGAGCCGTTGTGGCATCCTGTCTACGGTCGCGTGGCCCCCGTGAGAGTAGTCATATGGGTAAGGGTAGTGGGAGTGGTGGCCGAACGGAGGAGACGGGTGACAGGCGGAGAGGAGCTGGGGGGAGCGGTCGGTCGAGTGTCCGTTGGGATAGGCGGGGAGTGGTGAGATGGAGGGCTGCAGGCCGTGGGCGGTGCTTTCGTCGTCCACATGTCCGCTGCGGGGGCATTTCGCGGGAGGAGGGGCATCAAGGCCGGACACAGGCGTGTGGTACTCCGTGCTCTCGGAACGTGAACGGACACGCGAACCGGTCGCGCTAGGGACTGGGGAGAGCAAAACGGACGGCAAGGGCTGTGAGGATATGTTCACGCGGCCAGTGGTATAGGCAGACGAGCTGGCCGGAGCACGGTGGGAGGGGTGGGAGGATGCGTGTGGCGCGAGCGCATGGTGGTATGCGGAGGAGGCTTGAGTAGGGATATGGAGGCTGACCTGGATGAGCTGGCCGCCTCCCTCGGGAACGGTGAGCGCGAAGAAATTGCGGTCCGTTGCGTTGCGGGACTCGGTGTGGGTGAGGAGCAAGTTGAACCTTGCCCAAGCGTCACGGATCTCCTGCAGGTGGGCGTGGGCCTCGTCGCGGGCGCGCTCTGCGAGCTCTGCGCGGTGCTCGCACTCCATGATAATAGAATCGCGGGCTGCATCCAAGATGATCTGGGTTCGGGGTGTGCCTTGTGCAGTGGGCGGGGATGTGGGAGGTGTCTGGGCGGAGGTTTGGAATGTAGTGAGCTGTTCGGCTTTCTCCCCATGTCAGGCTTGTCCTTGTCATGAGCTCGGACTTGAGAGCTGCTGTTTTGCGGGACACCTTATACGAGTCGGGAGGGAGCCAGACGGATCGGTAAGGGCGGGTGTCGGTGCGGCCTGGGGCGAGCCGGACATGAGCCATCATGTGAAGGGGGTCGGCAGGGCTAGTAGTAGCGGCGAGCGGGAGAGTGGAAGTTGCCGCAAGGTCCAGGTACTTACCAGAGTCCACCCTGTCGTAGGTTTCGATTGCTGGTGCCTCAGACGGAGGAGTGCCACCGGTCTTCGCGCGTTTGCCAAGGACGACTTGATGAATGCGGTGGCAGCAGCTGGGTATACGTCCGGTAGGTAAGCGCTATGTGTTCGTGTCAGAGGCGTGAGGATACTGATGGTGACGTGGTGGTACAAGCCAGGGGAGAAGAAGAAAAGGATGAGCAGGAGCAGGAGCAGGAGCAGGAGGAGTGTGCCACACCGGCACGCGCGCGAGCCCCGCACAGGCGCCAGCACCAATGGGCACTTCAAGGGCACCTGGTCTGGGTTGCACATGGCGTCGCTGCAATTATGACACACAAAGCTTGTTCGGATAGTGTTCACAGACGATATATTAGTGGAAGTATCAAACAGCATTTTGATGCCAATGTGCCACTAGATACATGTCATATACATAAGAAGATCGCTGAAGGGGTTGAAGTAGAATGATTCGCAGGTATCGAGGACATCAGGAAAACCCCAAAATGCGAATTAGCACTAACAGCGTGAAATTAGTCCTAATGGCTTGTCTAATCGGGCTAACAGAATTGGAGGATCTAGTCACAACTAATGTGTGATAGTTGGGTACTAGCAGTACAGTCGATCATCTAATCTCAATAATTCTACCAGCTCTCTCACTAATTGGTGTAATTCACTCATATCTGATCTCCTGTGTCACTAATTTGAACGTCACACAGATATATTGCAGCTAATTAGAGTAACATTGGAAGGACGACATAGGGGGCCATATGGACGACGCCGTAGGCGCAACACACGGGCAGAACAGGCAACACAGGTAAAGTGGGCAATATAAGAGCGACGAGGGCGAAGGTGATGCAAACACGGGGCCGAGACGGGGGTGGGGTGGGTGACGCGGACACAGGCGACATGAGCCGGGCGAGGGCAAAGTGGGTGACGTGCGGGCAATGTTGATGAGGACGTGATGTGGGTGAGACGTGGACGACGCGCGGGCGAGGCGACGAGACGTGGGTGAACGCAAGCGTGGTGAGCGACACACGGGCAGACAAGGGCAACGTGGTGACGCGAGGGCGAGACGGACGACACAGGGTGAGATGTGGACGATGCGGGGGCGACACGTTGATGCAGGGACAGCGCGGGAGACACGGGCGACGTGGCGACGACACGTGGGCAACGCGGGTGTGGTGGGTGAGGAGAGCGACACGGGGGCGAACGCGGACAACGTGGGGGCGATGAGAGCGCGGTGGGTGCTAGGTGAGGCAGATGAAGTTGGCGATACAGGCGACGCAAGTGCAAGACAAAGGCGACGTGGGCTAGAGCGAGATGGGCAAAAGGAGGTGGGTGACTCCTGTGGCGAACGAGACAGAGACGGAATGAATATTCGCCGAGAAAGACGGGCTGAACGTCAGGCTGAACGTCGGCGTCGCGGGCGGGAGCTAGCTTCCCGCTTATGCCGGCGCGACAGCGCTTGAATAAGTGTATCTTGTGAGTCCTCAGTCCTGGCTCGTAATCGATAGGATGGATATTGATAAGGGAGAGCTGTGTGTCGTTCCGTCGGTGACGCGGGTGCGCAGGTGACGCGGGCGAGCAGGGCGAGGTGGAAAAACAGGTGAGAGGGCGAGGCGGACAAGGTGGGTGACGTGGGCGACACGGGAGATGCGGGCGCCGTGGGCAAGGTCGAGACGGGCGAGGTGAGTGATGTGGGCAAGGGCGAGACGGACGAGACAGGCGAGAGCGAGACGGGCAAGACGAGGAGCGGGAGGCAAGGAACGATGAGGGCGACGTGCCAGGCGCCAAGCGCTGGAGTCCACGCGACGCGCGTCGATTCCCACGCGTCTGGAACTGCCAGCACGTCGTCCTTCCTTTCGTCCCCTGCAGCTGACACCGAGCTCGTCCTCCCCGTCCTCCACATCCTGGCCCCCTTCGTCTCCCCGGCCCATATTCTGCGCCCTTCGTCCCAACCTCCTGACCCCACAATGTGCAACCGCAACGACGTCTGTGGTCACGCCCCGCCCCGGTGAGTCCCCCGCTCCCCCCTCTTGCGCTTCCTACCTCGCCCACCGCCTCCCAGGTCCTGCCCGCGCCACCGTCCCCGTCCCCGCAACCAGCACGTCCCAACAGACATGCTCGGGACGCTCGTTCCCGATGTGACCGTGGGACGCCGTCGTCACCACCCGCCCGCCGCAACGCCGTTCACCCGCGCTTTCCCGTGTGCAACCCTGGTGCACGGTCCCCTCGTCTCGAGTGGGCCGCGAAGGAGAAAGAGGCCGGCACTGCGGTGGTCACCCGTGTGAAGATTCACGCCCTCGGACGACAGGGTACAGAGGAGGGCAGCGCGCGACCTCAGTGCTTGGAGGTAAGCCTGCCCCGTCTCACCTGCCCTGCGCTCGCTCGCTCACGCATTCTCGCCTGTCTCGCCCTCGTCGCTCGTTTCGCTCATGTCCGTGTCACCCACGTCGCGCACGTCGCCCGCGTCCCTCTTGTCTGCTTCGCCCACATCTCCCTCGCTGCCTTGCCCGCACTGCCCGTGTCGCCCACCTGGCCCATCTCGCCCTGCCCCGCGTCACCCACCTCGCCCTCGTTCTGGCCCGTCTCCCTCTTACCTGCTCGCCCTTGTACTTGCTCGTCTCGCCCTCGTCCACCTTGCCCTGGCGTCACCCACGTCGCTCTTGCCAGTCTCCCCCTCACGCGTGTCACCAACCTCGCCCACCTCGCCCTCGCCCGTCTCCCCCAGTCTCCCCCTCACACATTATCCACCTCGCATGCCTCACGTCAGCATCATCACCTGGTCAGCGTCGCCCACCTTAGCCTGTCTAACCCCCGCGTCGACGTCATCCCTTCCCCATATCGCTTGCGTCGCCTATCTTGCCCGCGTTCGCCCTCACGTCGGCTGCGTCTTGCCCCCACATCACCCACGTTCACCCCCTCGTCGCTCGCGCTGCGTCGCCCTGTGCGTCGTCCGTCTGCCCTCACGTTGTCTTTGTTCACCCACGTCTCGTCCCCGCGTGGCACTTTGCCCACCTCGCCCGTCGCGCCCGCGTCACCGTAGCATAGTACTTGTGTCCCTGCATTTAAATATATCTGCTTTGAGCTCTCCGAATGCGTGACTAGTCGTGTGATTATCATCTCTAAAGTGTGCCTATCTGTGTCTAATTGTGCTTATTGTTGCTAAACCCTGCCTAACTGTGTCTCTAACACATCTATTCATGCCCAAATCCCCGGAGTAGTGCATGGCTAATTGTTGAACTATTCTGTCTAACGGTGCGAATTCGCAGGGGACCGATCTAATTAGACACTAATCGATAATCCGCGCTAATGGCTGATAATCAGCTAAATTAGTGCCATTAGTGCGAATTCGCACTTTGGGGTTTTCCTGATGGACGGTGCTACTGGTCCAATTGCGAGGTGCCACTGCACCGAATACAGGAAGTAAATGACAGCCGCGATAGATATCTGTGACAGGAATAACACTTGCGAGACGATCGCCGTTGGCATTTCGACAGCGCAAGACCTTGTACATACCATGCGCTGGGTCTGGCTCTGTGAACGCCGTAAACCACTCAACGTAGGCGAGATGCTGCGGAGGCATTATTCGAGGGAAGAGAAAGTCACGCGCAGCCTTCGGGATGGTGAAAACCAGGCGAAGGCGACCCACACGGTACTCTGTCATGAAGAGTGGCGGCTCAACCGATGGTTCAGTGGATGAAAGCACTAAAACAACATACTGTGAATTCCCTGCATGCCATCGCTATCATCTTCCTTCACCAACACAGTATCAAATCTGCCCGGTACGACCCTCCCTCGCCTATCGATGCGCTCAGGACGCGCGTGCACGGCGTCCTGCAAGTCGTCCATAATCCTGACATGTTGCGCACTCGGTAGGTGGAACTTGATCTTGTGGTAGGCCGGTACCGTGTCGAAAGGAATGGACAGCCCCACGGAATGCTGCTCGATTTGGGCGTGGGTGAGTGTCGGATCGCGGAACGACACAATAAACCTGGCGAGAGCGTCACGGAAAAAAGGGGCACCATAAATGGCGGCACACGCCGTTCGGACTGACACCTGGCGTGCACTTGGCGTCTTAGGAAGATGGATGCGGGGCGAGCCGGATATCTGTGGTACAGGAGCTGGGGATAGACCAGGGGACGTTGACCTTGACGAGGAGCCGTCGCCGGAACTGGGGGCTTCGACGTCACAACGCCACGCAACGAAGGCGGCGTGACGCTGCATCTTCTCGCGGCGTTCGAGCCAAAGCGTCATCTGCGAAAAGACATCCTTGCGATTTGTGGCCCGGAAAGCATCCTTCGTGAGTTCGATGTGCAGTCTTTCCGTGTACTGCGTATCATAGTTGTCGGTAGTGCCAAAGAGAGTGATGGAGAAGGGGTAATGATCGAGGGAGTGGAGCTTGGGTATCTTGAAGTGGATCCGGATGCCGAGAGCGACGAAAATGTCCTTGTCATCGTGGAAGCTACGCAGTGCAGCCTTGAGAAGATCAAGACTATCTGACGTGTGCGACGGATACTGAGCCAAGTAGAGGAAGTCGAGGATAGAGCGGACAGCGCGCACAAGTCGAATCGGAGAGAACCCATCCCTAAGGGGAAGATCGACGATAAGTCCTAGAAGAAAACGACAGATCGCGGCGTGTTCCTTTCCCGTCACGCGTTGCAGACCTGTGATGCCGTTCATGAAGACGCGGATTTGGTGATTTGGAGGCATTCGACGGCACCGGGTGTCGATCTCTTCAGTGCCGTATGCAACCTTGAGCCACGAGATGACGTGTTTGACAACCCCTTGATGTAGCTGGTGTAGGATGTCTGGCGTGACGGAGCGGAAGATATTGACGAAAGGGAGGTGCTGCCAGTAGGGGAAAGCGACCGGCTTGATCCGTGCATTAGCACAGGCGTTGACGAACTCCCTTGGTGTTCCGGAGGTGGCGACGTCAAGCGCATCCAGAACCAAGTCGACGTCGCGACGGGGCCGGTTGGGATCTGTTGTGGCTCCGACGTCGTTGCGGTCAATGTCGCATTGAGGGCACTCCCCTGACTTGCAGCATGTTGTGAGAAGTTGCTCCGGGTAATCTCCGATGTGGACAGCGAGTATGGGATGGTTTCGTCGAACAACACCGTCACCACTCGCCATGTTGATGCCGTGCACACCAGCTTTCGAAGAGGTTTCAATATTTGTCCGAGGCATGCGTGATAGAGGTTCGCCTGGATGCGACTGCGGGCAGCCTTGATGGAGACATGCTCGAGTTTAGTGGTGGGGAGATATGCGAGCAGAATCTGTCCACGACGCGAAGGCTTGCGGCGAATATCCTTGGGGAGGTTGCCGATGGTGAGGTATACGGGATAGGCAGTTTTGTTGCCGAAGAGAGTGAGCTGCGTCTTGTCCGATGAGATGATGATAGGAATGATTGTACCCCTGCGCTTGATTCGATCGAGGGCCTTCTAGGTAGTAGACACATCTGCATGAGCTTGTGAACGAAAAACGAAGAAGAACACTGACGTACCTGGGTCTCCACCACATTTTCCGGTGTGCAGATCAAAGTACACTCGGATATCATGCTCTGGGTCGGCATAGTGCTTCTCTGGCTTGAAGACCAGCAGTCCGGTGAACTCCGGGTCGCCATAGAGCGCTCGAATACACTCGATGACGTCGCGGAAGAAGACTTCGAAAACTTCGCCAGCAACGAGTATCTCTTGACGTTTGAAACGAGGACGTGGCGACGAAAGCTGCGTGTCGATGATCTTATTCAGATCCCGTGAGTTCTTGAATGACAGCCCCAGACGGGAAGCCAGCTAGTTAAACAGACAATGTTCAGTTAATGGTAATAGACTCGCATAATGAGGGACGCACCCCTTCAATTTCGAGCAATTCCGTGACTGCCGTAGAGCCTGGTCCACGCATCTTCGCCCACATGGCCACCGCACAGTCGGTGAAAGAAAGGAAGGGCGCGTACGGATTGTTTGAGTTCTCGCCGCCGCTTTGAAGGGTGCTGCGGGTTTCCTGGTAGGTTGTTTGTTCCGGTTGAAGATGGATGGGTGAGCCGGCGAGGGCATCCGGGAATTGCACGACATGGGTTGTTGTGCGCAGAGCGTCTTGCACTCGCTGCTTCTTCCAGCGCTCTTCCCGTTGACGTGTGCGGGCATTAAGATCCTCTGGGTCGAGAGTGGAGTCGTCACCTATCTCGTCGTGGCTAGAGGATGAGTTACCCGCTCTTGAAGCTGGCACACGCTCCCATAGCCCTTCGGCATCAAAGTTGGCGGCATCTTCGTCGTCTGTGTCGTCGTCTGTGTCGTCCGACAGTTCGAGCTCGATGTTCTCATCGCCTGCAATGAAAGGATCTTCGCCCGCTGGTATTCGTCGTAGTCGTCCCAATCATAGTCTTTGTCTTCTCCGAACATGTCGCCTTGAAATCGGACCGCTTCCGCGTTCTCGCCGTCGCCGTCTGCATCAACCGGGCCTGGAGTGTCTTCTGGCTCGGACTGAAATTCCTCGAGCTATAGACGAATGGCGACACAAGCCGGATGTGTCGTTTTTTCAAGGTGCTTTGCGTATCCTTCTTGTCCGGTGAATGAGCGACCACAGCCTTCGCAAAATGCAGGCATATCGGAGGGGAATGCGAATGGTGATAGTGAGAACGTGGAGTTGGTGGAAGGATGCGTGGCTGGCTGAGCGCAAGCGCAAAGTGCTGCGAGTTGAGAGCAAAGGGGTTGTAATATAGCTAGTGGAGATGTCAGGGTAGGGTGGGGAGGAGGAGATCCGGTTCAAACTCACTGCAAGTCAGACTCAGGGTCAAAAACGCGCGGAGACTCCAAACTCCGCTGCCGACACAAGCGTGGGCCACTACTCTTGACCTGGCACACTCATCTCAGTATCCTTTCCCTACACCCCCACACCACTGCACCACCACTCACCAGTCAATCCTTTACCCCCTCGTTCATTCCATAATTTCACTCTTCATCATTCCTCCGAGTCGACCAATACCCTCTCGTTCAAAGTCGTCCTCAACACTTTAATCGACCCTGTGCAATTCTGTGATTAGATCCATGGCCCGCAGCACTCGACTGAAGCGCGTCCTCATTGCCTCAGACGAGGAAGGAGGTGGCAACGACGCAACACAGACGCGTTCGACGGACGACTTACCCAAGCCACTGTGTAAGTTCGGTGTAACAGTCTGTCGCAGCGTATCCGTAACATGCATTCCAGCTACACGAGCCTCGCATCAGTCCAAGGTCGATGCCCTTAAGAAGCGTGGTGTGTCAACTTGCTCACCATGCGTGTATCGAAGTTCATGTACTTGCTGGGTTTTCTTGTTTCAGTGTGGGCTCCCCTTATTCCGAAACTACCAAAGACTTCTAGATCATCGTTGAAGTCAGCCGTCACCACTCAGCAAGGTAAGAATATACGTGCCTTCTGTGTTGTGCCATAACTGACGAGATTAATGACGTCAAAGACGTCGTCTCTGAAAATACTGGTAAGACACATGCAAATAACACGAAGAAAGCAAGATCGTACAAGGCTCCCGTTATACTGGACCACAACAGTGACGGCGAGCCTGAACAGCCTCGCTCTCAACCTCGTCCCGGCTTGTTGAAGGCGCGAAGAGGTTTGCAGGCTGCGGAAACTCTGGAATATGAACCAGAGCGCGAGCAATCGGAATCGCCACCACCATTGCAATCGTCACGGCTGCCGCGAATGCATGCCGCTGAGGTCGTCGAGCAGGACGACAATGAGGCCGAAGGGAGCGATAGCGCGAATCAAGATGCGGCCCAAGGCTCCAGTGACGACAGCAACAGAGACAATGCGGATGACGAAGGCGAGATCGACGAAGGCGAGAACGGAGAAGGCGACTCGAGTGAAGATGATCTGGTGGAAAGAAACAACGAGAACCTGCGGCAGATTCTGCAGAACGAGGTGAGCGCGCGCTCGCGTAAATCCTCTCTCTCACCATTCTCACCACCTCTCCCTGCACCTCACTCCTTTCCTTAGACTGCTGAATGGGTTCACAATGAACTTGATCACAACCCCGACTTCCCCTCCCTCGACCCAGATCCCAGTTCAACCCCACCATCTTCCTATCGCAGTTCTCAACATGCCACAGCTCGCACCCGGGAGTCCGATATCACAACCAAGAAGCATTCTCGGAGCAGGACCAACCATATACCGCAGCGCAAGCCGGAGTCTCCCGGGGCCAGGATCCCCGATCGGAGGGGTCTGAAACGTACATTGCGGACGGATGAGTCGGGATCAGAGGGCGATAGTTATCGGACCAAGTCGAAGGTGAGTCTTCATTTCTTGCGATTCATACCCTGGATGAGTTCCAACACCATGTATCTGTTTCAGCCGCCGCGCAAGAAGACGAAAGTAAGTGTTCTGTTCATCTCTTGCGTCCCCCATATCAACGCCTACCAAAACCGCTCTGCCGAAGGTGTCTAATCCCAGCTCCAAGTCCCAATCGTCTCCCAAGAACGCCGGCAGTGCATCGCAACACGGGTCGGCTGGTTATGGTGCGCATATCTTTGACATCATCTCCGCTCTCACTGCAATTGATCTTCAGGTGTGACGCCGCGCAAGCCTGCATCGTCGAAAGGTTCACATTCGACCACGGCAACAGCAGCAAAGGTCAAAAATGCGAGTGGTGGGGCCTCGAAACGACCCCGGAGCCGAGTCGATGAGGTTCTTTTCATTCTATCTGGTGATTATCGCATTCTAACGCATCTACAGCAGCCAATATTCATCGACATACTGGACGACGATACCTCAGACGAACAGCGCACACACAAGAAGGCCAGATACGAAGAAAATTCTTCTTTGGAAGAGGTGTGTGTGTGTCCGTGTCGTCGCTGTGACAGATACTAATAAACCTGGCAAGGATATCGAGGATCAAGAGAGTATTGAACTTGTGCGCAGCAGCAGCGGTCATTACAACCTTCTGGAGCAACCACTGCGCGTGAAACGCGTTGCTGAGGGGGCGATCACTCAGATCGAGTACTACCTCGTACTGAAGAACGCGTTCCCAGACGGCCCCACGAAGTATAATGTCGCCATTCGCCAGATTCTCGTTAAGTGCGCAGAAGCCCTGGAGGACTGACGAATTGCAACAAGGATCAAGACCGATGCAAGCTACGCTAAGAAGATCGCTACAATTGTGAGTGTCAGTTCATCTGTCTAGTTTTTAGCTTGCAGATGACATGTTGACCACCAGCCCGCACAACGCATCCCGATCTTCCGTGGGAGAGTCAAATCCAACGTCACCGCACTCTCGGACGGTCTCTTCAATGTGGATAGTGAGGACGAGAAGAAGATCGACTGGCTCATTGAAAAGGATCGTTTCATTTACCGTTGCGATTACGAGGTGAGTTTCAGTTGGCACTCGATGTTCATGCTCCCGATTGCCTTGCACATCTTCCTTCCGCGCGCACCCTCCTCACGCGCACGCACCCTCCTCACACGCGCGCACTTCGCACTGCGTTCACGCTTGCATGTCCCGGCCTTTGCATGCGCACGTCCCACCGCGTCATACACGCTTGTGCATCATCTTCACGGCTCGCGCTCACACATTCGATCGGGTCGTGCACGCTTTCGCATCCCCCTCATGCACGTGCGTCCCGTTCATTGTTTATACACTCTGCTCGTACGCGTAACTGACTGCATTGTGCCAGAACAACATCGTGCACGGCGGAGAACCATTCAGTGATCCAATATTCGCAAAAATGCTTCGTCTGTCATTTTTCAAGAGGTCGTCACATATTGGATACGCAGTCATGGATTCGCTGTCCTCGTCGGTTGCCAGCAAGCCCGATGAGAAGGAGATCTCCGCACCGATGCTCGCACTTGTTGCCACAACGGTAAGCCCAGTCGTTATGGCCGTTCGCTTCAGATGGCTTATCGATGCGCAAGGTTTATGCAGGACTCCTGGACTTGAAAGCCGGCAAAGAGCAGGATTTCCGGGGGAACTTGTTTTCCGACAAGTATGACGACGTTATTGACGCTCTCAAGGAGATACGTGATCAGAACGTCATGAAGTACCACTCTCTCATGCACGACTTCTATCAGACAGTGACAACGTACGCTTTTGTAGCTCACATAGTCCTTGATACTGATGTTTTTCCTTCATAGATCTAGTGGTAGAGAGGGTCGATCCACTGCCCGCCGCTCGAACGCCAAGCAGACGTTCCTCGATGTCTCTGCTATGCGGGGGGGCTGAGTCGACCGCATCATTCTGGACAATCACCTCCCTCCTCCCCGGTCCCTATCCACGCTCTGCCGCTCGTCCACCCTCGTTTTGATCGCACCCTCGCTGCAGCCTGTCGTAGATTCTACTGTCCTCATATCCCACATGACTCTCAACCCTCTGCGCAGAGATCAACCTCATTTTAGCCATCCATGACATTATTATGCTCGCTACATATCGTCACTCACCCCCGTCTTGATCAACGATTATATCTGCTACTTTAATCTCTTGCTTTGCTAATGCATCTAATTTGGTTCAAGTAAATGTCTTCGGTGTGACTAATGCATTCCATCTAGTGACTATTGATATATAATGCGGCAATAAGCGCACAACAGTCGCTCTAACTTCGTAATAACCACACTAATCTGGTGTCTAGTATAGTGCATACACCCTTCCGTGAGTACCAATCAGTGCCTTCATTTGCACCAATTAGATGTGTTGTTTAGGGTACTGCAAACACCCTTCCATAAGTACCAATTAGTACCTCCATTCGCACTAATTAGAGATCCAATGTCTAATTAGTCTAGGGGGTACTCCAATTACTGCTAACCAACTAATGGTCTAATTTATATCTCATTAGTGCTAGTTATGTGTAATTTGCAAGGTGGGGTTTTCCTGATGTTAATGGGCGTATAACGAACTGGAGGTCAGACGCTGGAGGCGAATATACCTCCGACGCTTTCGTCAACATGTTGCGCGATGAAGGGATCAAAATCCAACAAAGCGCACCTCATACACCAAAACAGAACGGACGCGCAGAGCGCTTCAACCGCACTGTCATGGAAAAGGCTGAAGCTATGCGTCATGACGCTTGCTTACCTGATTCATGGTGGGAGTTTGCGATAGAACACGCAACTCACGTCTACAATCGCACCCCGATACGTAGGCACGACTGGGTCACGCCATACGAAGTGGTGTACAGCGAGAAGCCGCGAGTTGATCACCTTCGCGTATTCGGCTGTGGGGCATATGTTCATCTGCCTGAAGACGTTCGTCAGAACAAGCTCTCACCTAGATCTGAGCTTATGACTTACATTGGCAACCCCGACGGCGTGAACGGCTTCAAATTCATGCGCTCACCCAACAATATTGTGTTTACTGGGACATCAGCGCTTTTCGACGAGCACTCGTTCCCACGATGCCCCGGCTACAATAAGCGAGGCACTACACCGGTCGGACGACCGTATAAACAACCCACCGTCAGCGACGAAATATTGTCGGATGATGAAGACGACGCACCTGCACCACGTCGTGCTCCCACAACCGCAGAAAGGAGACAGGATGGGCAGCAGAATGTTGCGCCACCGCAGCAAGGGGGAGTCGAACCCGACCTTCCACCCTCGCGCGATCCTAGTCCGCCGCCACAGCGACCGGCTGCTGAACGTAAGGATAAGCAGCGCGCGAAAGCGCCGCAGCAACCTACGCGAAAAAGCACGCGTGAGCGGAAAGTACCAGTTCGCCCAGGAAACGTCTATGGGGAGTCACGAGACCCCATCAAGACTTACCAAGAGATTGAGAAAGAGAGTACATGGAAGAAGATGGTTGGAGAAAATGCGAGTCACCATCGTAATCCCAATCAGCAAGTGGAAGCGCATAATACCGGAAATGCTGCTCCGAACGCACCTTCAAATGTGGAACAACCCTCTCTTGAATCATCCTCCTCGGACGAGTCGTCTGAAGTCGACGACCTACTGTTGGCACAGCTGTGCCGCGAAGGGGAGTGGAGTTATTAAACTATCTCGCAGCGAAAGCTGTACCACCAGATAGTACTCCCGATCCGTCAAACGTCCGAAACTGGACGCTCCGTGACATCGCTCGCTTACCTAAAGACGAGCAAGAAGAATGGAAAGCGGCCTGCCGCGAGGAGCTGGAAGACCTCAAGCGCAGGGATGTATTCGAACTTGTCGACCGCCCGAAAGGCCGCAAGGTTGTCAAGAACCGCTGGGTATTCGACATCAAACCAGATGGTCGAAAGAGAGCCCGATTAGTCGCAAAGGGCTACTCACAGACTGAACTTGAAGACTTCTTCAAGGTTTTCTCTCCCGTCGTACGCTACGAGACCGTCAGACTGATCCTCGCGCTCTGTGCGCTCGAAGATTGGTTCATGACTGGACTTGATGTGCGGAAGGCTTACCTATACGGCGAGCTAGACGAAGAGATATACATGGAGCAGCCCGAAGGATTCAAAATCCGAGGGCATGAGCACCAAGTATTCATACTACTTCGTGCGCTCTACGGACTTAAGCAAGCGGGCTTAGCGTGGTGGCGCGCCCTCTGCGAGTCCATGGTAGAGTTCGGATTCATCCGACTCTCCACCGATGCTGGTTTATTCCTATATAAACATAGCGACGGACGCATTGTACTCGTCATCATCTATGTTGACGATGCGCTCTTCTGCGGAAAGGACAAGGCGCTCGTGCTCGAACTCAAGGAGAAGTTCATGAAGCGCTGGGAGTGCCGCGACCTTGGCGAGACCAAGGAGTTCCTCCGCATGACGATCAGACGCGACGGCCGCAAGATCCATCTGGATCAATGCGCCTACCTCAAATCCGTCCTTAAGCGCTGCAAGATGGTGAACGCAAAATCCAAGCCCACACCTCTACCAGCTGGGTACATTCCTGAACCCAACGACCAGCCTGTGAACCTCGAGCGTCGCGCTGAGTTCCAAATGGTCATCGGATCGCTTCTATACCTCATGCTCGGCACGCGCCCAGACATCTCGTTCGCAGTTACCAAGCTAGCGCAATACGCCGCTAACCCATCTGAAGATCACCTGACCAAGGCCAAGTACATCTGCCGTTACCTTGTCGGCACTCAATCGTACTCTATGGTCTACGACGGCGACTCGGGGCTTGGCATGGTCGCTTTTGTCGACTCCGACTGGGGCACTGATCCTACAACTCGCCGCTCTCAAACTGGATACCTCGTCAAGATGGCTAACGCCGCCTTCTCCTGGCAGTCACGAGCGCAGAACACTGTCTCGCACTCTGTCACCGAGTCCGAGTATATGGCTGTAGACGACGCTGGACGTCAAATCGTCTATTCGCGCAACGTCCTCGAGGAGATCTATTACTTCCTCGAGCCTGTACCGCTCTCTAGCGATAATCAGGGTGCTATCTTCCTCGCCTCGAACCCAGTCACTGAGAAGCGCACCAAGCACATCGACATTCGCTATCATTATATACGCGAGATCATCGAAGCGAAGAAGGTTGAATTATTCTATATTCAAGGCGAAGATAACCCCGCCGACCTCTTCACCAAGAACCTGGGGCCTGACAAGTTCCTCAAGTTCCGCCCTCTTCTAGGGCTTGTATTCCACCCTTAGGCCTCTGTCTTACTTCGCTGATGCGCCTTTATTACGGCTGCTCAGCGAGGGGGGTGTTGAACGCGGTAAGTACACCGCGGACTACGCGTGAGAACGCTCGGCATACTCGGCCACGGGCCGCCGAGCGGCTCGGCTTACCTAAGAGCGTCTAGCCGTATGGCGCGCTCTACGGAACGCCACTGCATGGCATGCACGTCTCCGATCGTGCATCCCCCGTTCCAGAGAGCTATCTCTAGCTACTCTATGATACCGTAGTGTAGCCCCGTTTCTTTGCTCTCGTTTCAGCCTCTCTCGTGTACTGTACAGTAGCACCAGCCACTCGTTCGTACCCTGTATATATACCAGAGTATCCCGGCCTGCTAATACACAGTTCCTTTTACTACTACACTAAGTGCGAGACCTCGAACAGGCTCTACTAAGCTACAGGTGAGATGTCGCGCCCACTAGCGTGAGGCTACCGTCTCAACAGGTGAGTAACCTTGGACGGTCCCCCCATCGGACGCGAGGAAGGCGTGCGCAGCGCCTTGGGAGCGAAGCGAGCCGCGAACCTTCCGCTGCTCCGAGTCCACGCACCCCGTGAACGAACCCGTCGTGCATGACGCCAAGTCCGGATGAACGGCTCCTCCCTTTCGACGCACCGTAGTCGCCGACCTGCTGCCCGCGGACGAGCCGCAGCGAACCGGCACAGTCCCCCGCTGTCCTTGGTTTCCTCTGGACTCTGGAGTCCGGGTGCGCCGGACAAGGGCCTACGCGCCCTCCCGGAGCAAGCGAGCCTCCGGAGGCCGCCACGTTCGCCGAGCGGCAAGCATTCCAAATACCGCTGAGACGGGGGAGTGGCGACCGCCCGCCGCGCGTCCGGCTGCGTTCGCACGACCGTAGGCTTGTAACGGGGAGGTCGATGCTTGTCGAGAACGCATGCCGGATGGCGGCCAGGGTCGGCCGGGGGCTAAGTGGGCACGTCAGAAATAGACACAGCCCAGGCGTCCGGGGTGGGAGGCGGGAGGCGCACCTGGACTTCTGGAGGGATTGGCTGCGAGCGCCCGCCACGAAGGGTGCCGCTGAGGCTGAAGCTCAAAGTTCGGGCATGGCCGGTGCGCGCACGGCCCCGCGCGCCACCGCGCCAGTCGATGATCCATGGAGGCAGCTGCCGTGCAGCACCTGTGGACGCGGGCGGTGAGCTCGGACGGGACTGGAAGGGTGGAATCGAAAGTGGTGGATCCAGGAGCGCGTCCGGTTCGTCAGGGAGCGAGCGCGAGCCTTGGACGCGAGATGCACCACGAACATACCGGGCGATGAACGATGGTCAGTCGCACCGGGCGAGCAAAATTAGCGTTCTGGGTGCCCGTCGCCACGTCCGTCGTCGGTCCTCCAATGCATGCAGCGACGCGCTGACGGTGGACGCGATCGCGGCCGCGGATGCATCGCGCACACCGCATCGACCCGCATCACGGAGATACGCGCACAAATGGCTCGTCGCTGTGCTGACGGCGAGGGGGGCGGATGCAAATCGCCATGGAGAACGGGGCCAGCAGCGGCGGAGAGGGCGCGCGGCACGTGAGCGTGCGTTGGCGGACGGCAGCATCAACAGTCAGCGCATCTCCCGTCCCCTGCATCTCGCGTCTCGAGATCGCGTCACGGTGCTTGGTGTGTGCGTGCTGCGCGGGCTCCAAACGCAGACACAGATCAGGGGGACTCGTCAGGAAATCAAGATCTCCCCCGCGCGCCCGTGCGCGGTGTCGCGGGCGACGGGGAGGCCCGACGGCCAGTGGGCGGTGGCAGATTTGGGTTGATTTGGGAGAGAATGGATGCGGGTCTGGGTGTAGCGCTGCTGCGCAGCCTCGACGTAGTCGATCCATCTGCCACACACGGACGTGGACAGGCTCGAGCTCGGGGAGGGAAGGCGGACGTACGGGGCCACGCGTGATGACGAGGACGCAGACCAGAGAACTCACACGACGTGCAACGGACGGGACTCCACGGAAACGAGGCGTGCATGGGGGAGCGACTGTGCAATGAGGGGGCTTGGAGGGAATCCTCGCCGGGCGGAGCGGAGTCGCTGATGGCGGGCGATAAGGGAGGCTTACAGGAATTAAGCTCGAACTCAAACTCCCCGGCTTTGGACACGTCCGAGCATGGACGCGACGACGGCGCAGCGACGTGTCCTAGCCTGTACCGGCTTTGGCTTCATTGCGCAGAGAGGAAGCAGAAAGCGAACGAGGAGCTGATGACGACTGAGCAGGCTCTTATTACCGCCACCAAGAGCTGGGGGCGCGCGAGGACAATGCAGAAAGCGAGCAAAGCAAAGAAGCCAGATGTGTGTGGAGGCGACTGGGAGCCGCGTGCATTCGGCGATGCGGGGGCAGGCTCAAGCGGTCTACGTTCGGTGGACGGGAGCGAGCGGGGCGGGCGCGCACAGCCGCGGCAGTGATTGTGGTCGCAGGCGGTGAAGAGGCGCGCACGCGACCTGCCTATTCCGCGCGCGAAGGTCATGCGTTCCTAGGAATCGTGGCTGAGAAGCCTGCGTGGAATTCGTACGAAGAGTCAGTGCGGGTTGACTCACCTTCCGTCCCCGGGGCGGGGCAGCGCTGTCGGCGACCCAGACGGGAAGGGCGCGAGTCTGTGCATAGTCGGTGCGCCCGCCGTGGAGGCGATTCGCTCCCGCCGCAGGCAGACGCGCGCCAGATCCCGCCCCTTAAGATACGTTGTCACCGTCCGCTTCACAGCAACAGTCCATCCTCCTACAACGCCAACCCGAACTCTTCATAAGGCCCCGCCATCCACCCTGCCAGCCAACTTCTCCTCCTCCTCCCACCCCCACCACCACCTCGCCGTGCCTCTCCACCCCGCTCTCCGCCACTCCGAGTCCCACCAGCGCCGTCCAACCATGCCAGGCAAACACGTCCACTTCGTCGACGTCCCTTCGCCGTCGACCACCAACTCGACCCTCTCCAACTCTCCGGGGCCCATGACGCCCCCGCAGCTGTACTACTCCCCGCTGCACGGCACCAAGGTCATGTACGCGCCCTCTTCCTCCCCGCGCCCCGCCACACACTCCGTCGCACTCCACCCCCTCCTCGCCCGCGCGCCCTCCGGCACGCCCCTCAACTGGGACCTCGCGCTCCCCGCCGAGTCCGCGCGCCCGAACGTCCCCGGCCTGCCCTCGCGCATCACCGACAAGGTCGTGTGCGAGCCCGCGACGCACCCCGCGCTCCCGACGCTCGCCGTCGTCTGCGACTTCCTCCCCTGGACGCTCACCATCACCCCGACGCCGCACGCGCTCTGGGCGGCGCCGTACGTGACCGTCGGCGACGTCCTCCACGCGCTCTACCGCGCGCTGCGCCTCGGCGTGTCCGACCCCGAGCTCGCCGTGCTCGAGCCCGGCCAGCAGGACCGCGTGCGCGACGCGTACGTGCGCCGCTACCGCCGCGCGCCCGCGGGCGAGCGCGAGCAGGAGAAGGCCAAGTCGATCAAGCGCGTCGACTTCCTCCGCGACCACCGCGCGTTCCTCGGGCTCGCGCCCGTCCCCGGCGGGCTCCCCGCGAAGGGCCTCGTGCCCGGCGCGGTGTGGGCGCTGCACGTCGCGCGCTCGCCGTGAGCTGGACGCCACTCGAGACCCAACGCCCCGCCCGCCTCGCCGTCGCCCCATATCCTCTTCGCCTTCGCCCTCGAGCCACAGCCCGCCCGCGGTGCAGCGCACCCGCGGTTCGGACTCTCGCAGCGCACGTTGATCCCAGCATCCCAGGACCCCCGATCCCCTCTATGCGCGCATCTACCGGACTGCCTCCTTCCCGCCCCCGTACCGTGTACCAATACCCGTTTGAGATACCAGCCCCCTCCCCATCGGCGTCGAGACGGCGCGGGGAGTCCCCTCCCCACGTCCGTAGAATATATAACAAAAGAAATGTACTGTACCTTAGCCCCCCCATCTCCTGCATCGTACCGCATACACCCAGCATAAACACATAACATAGCCCCCTACTGTACCGTTACACCCGCACTCGTACTCGCCCCGGACTCCCCCCCTCATATGCATCTCCTCTCTCCTCTGGACCCATTTGTTCTCCGGTTCCGTGTTGTTATTCCCATCCGCACCACATCCCCCTTCACGCCCCTTCTACGCCTCCTCTTACGACGGTTGCCAGACGACGACACGTACTTTCACGATTTGGGAATGCCGTTAACGTTCCTCGACGCTCTCAATGCGACGACCCTTAGCCTTACCCACACCTGGTGTGCTCGCGCGAGTGATGGTGTGATTCGATCTCCCGGCCGCGCCCTCTGGTTGGACGCGGGTCCTCGTTCGAGCGCGCTCCGCCTCCGCGCTGCGACTTCAAGCTTTCAAGTTCAAGCTGCTGCCGTCGTCGTCGTGCGGAACTGCCCCGTGACCCAAGAAGGCACTGGCTCTCGCCCTCCCTCGCCCCGCCGTCGCCCCCTCAGATCTAGAGGTCTGGTCTGACCCCGACGTCGTCCGTCGTCCGTCGTCCGTCGCCGCGCCTGAGCCGCTGCGATCGCCCGGCGCCCGGGGCTGCGCCGTCCGTGCCCCCGGACTCCGGCGCCCGGGGTCGCGAGAGCCCGCGAAAGGCAAGCCTGTGGCCTTTTGCGGCGGCTTCGATCTCCGGGTGACGTCACCGAGCCTGCGAGGGCGTCGCTCCGTTTCACGTTCTGAGTTCTGATGCGTCGATATCTGCGTCCGACGCCTCGTGTTCGCTCGCGCGCCGACCGCTATGGTGCGTGCGCGGTGTGATGCCGCTGGGTCGATGACGTCGGTGCGAAGTCGCGGATCGTTGTGTTTCAGTGCGCGGGGGCACGCGGATTGAACGGAAATCGAGAACGCTATGTACTAGGAGGTAGGATGGACTTTGCTACCTGCTTCCGCGAAGAAGTATAGTGTGCCAGCGACAAGCTCACACACCGACATCGAAATGGCTCGCCGTCTGGCCACCCATCGAAGGCTCCAAGGAAGAGTCGGACGAACTGAAACGTCCTCAGTGGCACTTCCGCCTTCGTGCCTTCGTCATCTTGCTGTGCGTTCGCACCCCCCGACTTGCGTGCATGGCCGCGAGGAACGGGATTCCACGCGCCCCCACCCCCAAAGTTGCGCACGTATGGCGCGCGCGCATGCACATCGAGGGTCTGAACTCCCGGCCCGGCCCAATCCGATACGCATCTGACACCCGCTCCGAGGACGTCGACAATTTGCATCGAGGGTGTCGATCGCCGCCGCGTGCGCGTCGCGTGGCGGGCGTCGCCAGCACCGACCTCGGGGCGGATGTGCTCTCGAGCGGACCCCGGGCCACTCGTGCGCACTGCGATGCGCGGGTATGTATGTCACGGACTCTCGGGGCCGCGTCGCGCCTGATCGGCGTCGACACGAGGCGCGCGAGCCTCGATCGAGGTCGCGCTTGGGCTTGGGCTCAGGGCAGCTGCGCGCGCCGCTTGGTGGTTGTGGGCGTGCGCGTCGGCCCTCGGGTGACGTCTGGGGCTGGGGCGAGCGGCCAGTGTGATCCGAGACGGAGGCGAGGACACGCGGTGGAGGGGGAACCACCCCGGGCACGAGGCACGCGGCGGGGTCGGGATTGCTTAGCGCTGAGCGGCGGCGCATGCTCTTGTTCAGGCCTTCAGGGAAGGCTCCGTGCGCCGCGGTTCAAAGTTTACGTTTAAATCCGGGGTGAGAGCGGAGACGAGCAAAGCAGAGGACGGGATCCGAAGGAAGCGCGCTCGCTCTTCGTTCTCGCGTTTCGCGGGCTGCGCGCGCGGCGCGTGCTCTGCGCCCCCGCAACCCGGTTCCCGACGCTTCGGAGGACTTGGTTCTCGCTGCGGCGAGACCGGGCGCACACGCAGGCGTCGAGAAAGGCAAGGAGCGGGTGCGGGCACACATATGGTCGTGTGACGGCCGAGCTCGGACTCGCGAGCTTCGGACCCTGTACTTACGTGCTGCGCTCGCCCGCGCCCGCGACGCAACCTCCGCCCGGGCGCGGACAAGGGACGGGCACGTGTCGCTTCCTGAGCCCATCGATGCGCACCGACATCCAGAACAGGAAACATGTCATCGCGCCGCGGGGACGTGCGCAGGGGCTCGGCGAGCGACCACATTATGCGCCCGCCGAAGGCGGGTTTGCGTAACGGGCTATGTGCGCCGTGCCTTGGAAGCCTCGGGCGGGCCATGCGAGGGTCCGCGCGTTGTTCTCAGAAAGTCGGGGGAGGCACGTCGCACGGGGCGGTGGCGGTGGCGCGGCAGCCAAGTGTGTGTGGTTTCGTGTGAACGTGGAGAGCACAACGCGCACCGGCGCCAGCGGACAAAGGTAGGTTCAGGAGACTTGGACAAGGCAATGAATTCGGCTTCGACGTTCGGGCCGCGCAGGGAGTTGCGCCACGAGAATCGGCCACAGGTGGCTATGCCGGAATGCCACCCAGAGTATGCTTTGAGTGCAGAAACGAAGCCAGGAGCAGTGCCTCCACGCCGCACTCTACCCCGACGCGTGGACCGGGCGGTCGGAGCGGTATCCGGACTTCTGGGGCGGCTTTCCGACCGAGTCGGAGAGCAGCCTCTACCCCGCGCCCGAAAATAGTACGTACGTACGTACGAGTGCAATAATGGGTGCGCGAGGCGCAGTATGAAGGTTCTACGTCGCGTGAAGGCGTGACGATCGACGAGGCAGGCGTGTGCCGAGCCTATGTAAAGATAGATTGCGCTTGCGACGATAATAGAATATAAGGAGATGGTCTGGGCCGGTGCACGCGTGGGTCTAGCTGAACGCAGATGTTTCCTGGCATGCGCAACTGATTATAGGATTCATCTAGCTTGGAGACCTCAGCCGGAGATCGTGTTCCAGATGGCAAGGACGCAACGTCGAATTGCATGCCGGAGTTCTGATCGAATGTGCATTGATGACCGTCGCCGAACGCTCGTCAGCTAAGCTTGCCGACAAGACCGAGAGATATCGAGTGTTGTGAAGATAAGCACTCTTTGAAGTGACTTGGAGCCTCCAGCCCGACGTCGGGTGTGTGTCGCAATTGAATGAGGATATACACGCGTATACCTCGGGCGCTGGAACGCTCGGATCCATACTTACCTCTGCTCGCAGAATGCAGTTTACTGTGGATAGCGACGCAGTGTCGCCAAGACAGCCACTTACACGAGCGCATGGGCGTTTCAACGGCGCTGTCACCAAAACGATAGGTCGTGTGCACATGCGCGCAAACGAATGAATGTGCAACATACCGCAGAAGCCGGATGATTTCGGAGCGGGTACGGTTGTCCTCGGGGTCAGATGTCATGGTCGTTCTCGCTGGGATGTAGCGATATGTGAGCATACGCCTTTATGGAACACCATACGTACGTATCATGGCCCTGAATGCGTCCTAAATCGTTCAGAGCCGCCGGCGCCGGAGAGGGCAAGAGCCGCGACAGGAGCGCTTGATACGCTTTGATGCCATGTCAGACTGGCCTGACGCTGAGATATGAGCTGGGATAGCATGGTGCGCACTGTCTTTTGGTTATGAATATCCACATGGGTCATAGCGAGCTGTGGGCAGTGAACGGATCTACAGGAGCAGAGTGTGGCGATGAGGATCCAGCAGATGTGGCCGCGCGCGATCGCATCGCGGCATCACAGATTGAAGCGGCGCCCAAGATGGTCTAGTGCGTCTGGCACTCCTGCAGGCCCGTCACTCGTCGCGACCGGCGTCGCACCCCCGCCTCGCACAGACGCCATGCTCCCATTGCTCTCAGCACCGCGCACGTCACCAGACCTGTGCACGTTCAACTGGACACAAATGCCATCCGTGAAGTCAGGGAGGCCGTGCACAAGCTGTTCCTGCCGCCCTCCTCCCATTCCTCCTCTCCCCATCGCACCGCCCAGCCTCACGAGTCACCGCATCGTCTCCGTCCCGGATCAGTGCCGCCTGTCCTTGTCTGTCTGGCGCTTCATTGCGCTGATATTGCCCCTCGCTAATGGCCGTCCGACCCCCTCCCATCCCAGTTGCTCGAATGCTCCCTTGACACGACCCACTCCCCCCACTTCCCCCGTCGTCGTCATCCTCGAGCAAGAAGATGAAGATAGGCAGCCTGCGCCGCCGCTCGACACCGAAGGAGCTGCCAGAGCCCGAGCCGCTTCCGCGCAAGCAGGCGCTGCTCATCGGCATCAACTACGACCGCACGCCGCACGACCAGGAGTATGCGCCGCTGTCGCGCGCGCGGCAGGACACGAAGGATTTTCGGGATCTGCTCATCTGTACGTCGGAATCATCTGCTTGGCTGTATACGCCGTTCTTGACGTGCTGGGTGCAGCCAAGTACGGCTATGACCCCGAGAATATTGTGATGATGTTGGACGAAGATGGGATCGCGCCGAACCTCGAGCCGACGCGGGCGAACATCGTGAGTCGACCTCGTGCAGTCATTTCTCTTCGTGGAGAACTTACATCTTTGCGTGCAGTTGTACCAGATACGCAAGATGGTGGCCAACGCACGGGCGGGGAGTCGATATGTGTTCTTCTGTGAGTGTTGTTATGCCCCCATCGCGCGTCCTCTCGTATCTCCCCTTCGCCTCATGCTCCCCCTTACCTCCCAACGCCCCCATTCCCCTCATACCCACCCTTTCTCTTTCCATATCGGTGTTGCTCCTCTGTCCTGGTTGTTATCGCATGCACACTACCTACCTCGGCCTTATACTCGTCCGTCCTCTGCTGCATCTGCTGTATCTTTACCCTTGTTGCATCTTCTCTTTGCTCCCACCCTTTTCTCTCTGCACCATCCTTCCTGTCGTCGCATCGTTGACTAACTCATTGCTTCCTCCCAGTCTCCGGCCATTCTGGTCAAGTCGCGACCGCGCGACCGGAAGAAGACGATGGCTTCGACGAGTGTGCGTATATCCAAGATTGCGCTGTCTACGTTCCTATCTCACCGCCGTTCTCCTCCTAGTCCTCGTCCCCATTGATCACGCGCGACACATCGGTGCCGACGAGAAGACGACGAACAAGCGCATGGTCCTGGACAATGAGCTCCGTCGGCGGCTTGTTGATCCCCTCCCCACTGGGGCCCACCTCACGGCGATCTTCGACTCGTGCCATTCGGGGACGATGCTGGACCTGGATCACTACCTCTGCAATGCCATCTACAGTCCGTTGAAGAGCCCCGGCCTGCGGCGATACAAGAGCAAGTGGCAGCAAGTCCGCCGGAGGGATGGACAACGTGAGTGTTTGATCTCGGTTTGCGTGGCGTCCATGTGGAGGTGGGCACGGATTCTCTGCGGTCCATCATACCGTGCTTCTACGTCTGGGGCGAACTCTGAAGGTTCCAAGGAGCTGGAAGCTGACTGTGTGCGGCGTTTACCCAGGTATAAGCCAATCGGGCGTCCGTATTGTCACGAGGAAGCTCTCGCAGTCCGATAACGACCACGGCGATGCGGCCCGAGGTGCGTGAAATAGCCTTTTAGTCAATTTGTTGTCCTGACCCTGGTCGTGCTTCGCAGAGAACTCTACCTGCGGCGTGCGAATTTACCAGCGCAGCCGCCTCTCCGAAGACGAGGTCGAGGTGCGCACGACTGCCGTCGATTTCGCCGACGTCAAGGACGGCACCCAACGGAAGTATTCGCTGCGCACGTCGACGCGTCGCACGTCGATCCGCCCAGGGACGTCTCTCGGGGACGTCGCGGAGGGTCTGTCAACAGCCTCTCTGGTCACTTTCATCGACGAGGAAGAGATCGACCGCAGGTGCTCGTCCCCCACATCGTTGACCCAGTGCAACGGCTTCTGTGACGTGGCCGACAAACCGGCCGAGGGCGCAACGGTGCTCTCCATCGCGTCATGTCAAGACTCCCACATGACGTTCGAGTCCAACCGGGGCTCGTTCACGCACTGGCTCATTCAGCTCCTCCAGCGGAACCCACACCAGCCCATCAGCCGCTTCATCCGCGACCTCTCGGACAAGATGTCCACGCAGGCGGACAGGGCGCACGCGTGGTCCCAGAAGCGGAAGGAGAGCTGGAAGCGGAAGCACCCCGTCGAGGCCTCGTCGAGCTCAGCTACTACCGAGACGGGGAGCTCTGAATCCTGCTCGACGTTGACGGAGGCCCCGCGCCGCGAGGTCACCGTTTACGAGACCTGGGAGCCCCATCCGCTGGACCACTTGGACTTCACGAGCATCCCGCAGCCGCAGCTGGGGGCTCAGCATCGTCTCGTGAGTTGTTTGTATGCGTTTATGACCGGATGCACGGCTAAAACGGAACCTGCAGGACCTTGAGCAACCAATCATGCTTTAGCCATGTTCTCTGACTGCTTAGTCGTCTCCATTTCTTGGACCTCCATCCACCCACCCACTATAATTTGTACTCGCACCACATCGCATGCTCCATCTACAGTTTCTCCCATACCCATACTACATAGGATCTGCGGGCTAACCGTTGTCCTTCATGCCGTCGATATCGCTTTCGCATCCTGCCTCGCTATGCCTACCCGGACGCAGCTAATGTACAACACTCGCCACTAACATACTCGCGCATGTACTCCTCGTGTTCGCTCTCACCCATCGCCAGCTTTCAAGGTACCTGAGCGTCGGCGAAATGGCGTGATGCGGTGTCGAACTCGCGCACGTGCCTGTCCGTGTCTTCGGCGTTTGATGTTGGACTCGAACCTCCACTACCGCTTGTTTGTCTCGCCGGATGTCGCTTTGCTCGCCCTTGCTGTCTGTGGCTTGTGGTCCTCACACTCGGTCACGAGTCCCCGCTATGTCCCGATGGACTCATCCAACTGCTGAGGTGTCCTGCTAAGACGGTATTTGACGTCGCTCCCTACTCTTTCCGGCTTCTCTCCAAAACACCAGAAGGGTGAAGATAACGGAACGGAACGAGAGCACGCGTTCGTGCCTGCCGTATCGTACGTTCCCATGCAGGTTCCGAGGATAGGAGTGGCGTGTCGCAAACGCCGTCCCGGGAAGAGCAAGCATTCCCGGGCCCCCTCGGTTACTGGTAAGTCTTTCCTACTCTACCCTTCCGCGTGCGTGGCTCTCAAAACTCAACACACGCCTGTCTTTCGTCCCGCCGGTGGCACGCGCGAAGCGTTCAGCGATATCATGGCTCTCGAGTCTTTGCCGGAACGCCATGCGGGTGCCTCCCCTCGAGTCGGGCAGTGTCTGTCGATGCGCGTATGCCGGCGTGCATGGAAGTTGGATCGAGGTTGCGCTGTGCCACGCAGACCCGTGTTCATTCAACTCAAAGCCGCCGATCGGAGACGCTGAAGCCTTCACTGACACGAGCTTGCGCGTCCTACCAGGTCGCTGCCAGTGCCAGTGAGACAATCGGAACTTTCACGCCCGCCGGGACCTGGCGGGCGGCGGGAAGACGATCGAACATAGGAGGTTCGCATAATGCCCACATATCGAAACACGAGTATAATACTGACTGTCCTGTCGCGGCCCACAACGTTACCCTTCCTGGCGCCCATCCGTCTCGAGATCAAGCCTTGTCGTTGGCGCCCTTATCCTTGTCGCGGTCGTCCTTGCGCTCGCCCCGCTTCTTAAAAGCACTGAAGACGCCTCTGCCCCGTTTCTTCTTGGGCTCCCCCGAGGACCCCTCTCTGTCGCCCGTGCCGGCGCTGTCCGGAGGAGGTTGCTGTGGCGCGGAGGCGTCGGGGGTAGAGGACGCGACTTCCTGGTGCGGCGTGTGGGTCCCAGACAAGTCTGAGGGCTGGCTGACGCTGCCTCGGTGGGGCTGGCTCGGTTGACTCGGCGGCGGTGCCGCACCCTTAGACGAACGCTGTTCCAGCCTGGGGTCCACAAACACATCTAGGAGAACGGGACTCATGATCCGACCACCTTGAGGACTGAGGTCCTGCGCGTTGCTGCGCTCGTGGCGCCTGCTGGCTTGAGAGGTAGATGTGGAAGGAGACGAGTGCTGGTCTAAGGCGCCAGGATACGTGAAGGAGTGACGGAGAAGTCCTTCGCGTTTCTCCGACGAGGTAGCGGTGGCCGGAGAGGCAGCGGTGACCGAGGTAGCGGTGGCTGGAGAGGAGGAGGAAGCGGAGAATGTTGTAGTGGAGGTAGTACTGGCGACCCGGGTGGGCGGCTGGCCCGTTGGGTCCGAGGGGCCAGTGAGCCTAGAGGAGAGATGAGATGAGATGAATACGACGAGTGCACGCGTACGGATCTATACTCTCGGATCACATACCTTGTAGTGGTCACCCGGGGGGGAGGGGGCAGCCCGCGTTGCTCCAGCGCTCGCAGCAAGCGCGCTCGCTCTTGATCCCACTCTCGCTCCCGATCTTCCCACTTTTGCTGCCAACCTCGCTCCCGATCTTCCCATTCTTTCCGCGCTGTGTAGATATTTGATGTGAAGAAGTACAAGAACACATTATAATGTGGTGGCGGCTTACTGGGCATAAGAGTCCCTGGGGGAGGATCTGTCATCTTGCGAGGAGGCATAGGGGAGGGTTCTCGAAATGAGATGCGATATTCCTGAGTGGAAATGACGAGTAGGGGGATAAGGCTGTGAACACGAAGCAAGAAGGGTGGTCGTCTGAGCTTGTGCGACTCTTCCTGATAACCTTCGGGAGCGGCTGGCCGGCGGCGAACCATTGCGATTGGGACTGGCTGACAGTAAGCGGGTCGACCTGTTGACAAGGTACAGATATACAACAGCAGTCTCCTGAGGTCCAAAACCAGCCACGGATAGGGGCATTGTTTTCGCACCCTGTGCATTCCTGATCGTGAGCCTCAGGCTTGTTGAGATATGATGTACTTGTGGAGTGCCAGTGTCTCGCGTCGGGTCCGTGGTATGATCTCTGAGCGTGCAATGCTATTGACCCGCCCTGGTGACATCCCCGACGACATGTCCGCCTCAACGGCGGTCCACCGGGCGGAGGATGAGCGAGATGAGAACGCTAAATGGCGACGCTCGCTTTCGATGTTTTGGTGACGTCACGACTCACGAAACTGTCCGCCAGGCTTGCCGGTCTTCTGCCACGGATTTGAAATTATCATTTCGCGACTTAGATCCAAGCGGTCGGCACGACGGTCTTCTAGAGCTCATCCGCGGCAATGTCATGGGACGAGCTGGCGCGGCTCCGGCCCAACGCTACGCAAGACTGACCTCGCGATTTCTTCAAGGCTCACGCAGGGATTCTTTCTGACTCAATTCCTTTGTTCTATCTCTCGCGTGCTTCGGCACCGACCGTGTTCCGCTTTGTATATATATCAGAGCACCTCAGTTCTATTCAGACACAACCTTTACCACTAAGTACACTCATCATCTCGTCCGTCTCGGTCCCGTTCTGTATCGTCCTCGCGGCCGTCTCCTGCATTCTTGTCGTCTTTGCCCGCACTTTTTATCGTCCACCGAGCTAGTCGGTACGATCAGTGGTCGCCGAGTTGTGCCTTCAAGGCTGCTCGGCTGCGATCTCGTAAGCCGCGGCCCATAGACCGCCGGGAAGGAGGTTTCCCTTGAACTTGTTTCTCTTGAGCCCGCTAAGCCCGTGTTCATAGCAGGCAGGTGCAGCAAGGGCGCATGGTAGGGAACGGAAATATTACCGAGGACACTGTCTACAATCTGGAGGACGGGGACAAGGACAAGACCGGTGAAAATGGCGAAGAAGACCTTCTTGGAAAACGGAAGGACCGAGAATGCAGACAGGCAGGCCGCGCGGATCGGTGCGTGTCTACCCTTGACGTGATTCACGCGGTCCATATCGCCCACGCTCTGTTTCTGGAGTAGGAGGCACACGTTACCCTGCGATCGCCGCTGCGCTTGTACGTGAGGGCGGCGAGGACAACGGGGAAGCAATTGTTCGCGACGTCGGTCGGTTCGAGCAGGAGTGTGCGCTGGTTGGCGTTGATGACCTCCTCGTCGTCCGCCAGCACCCCCTCGCCCGTCGTTACAGCCCAGTGAAACCCTACAACTTTTAGAAACTTTCAAAAACGTGCGTGCGCATTTGAAAGCTTTTGAACGTTTCTAAGCGTGGCTCCGGACGTGTTTCAGAAATTGAAAGTTTTTCGCAAATCGCGGGGAATCGCGCAGATGTGCATGTAATCGTGCAGAATCGTGTAGATACGCGCCAAAAACGTTCATAATCGTGCAGAAGCGCGCTCTAATAGGGCTATAAAGCTCGTATAATGCGGGTTATTACACTTCTATTGATGCTGCATGCGGGATACGGAACACACGCCCCCAACCCATCGCCGCCCTGGTATCAGTCTGCGCTACGAGTAACGGGGCAAGCGGATCCGACCGTGGTCCTCTGGGCGAGGCCCCGTGTATAGCGTGCTTCTTGAAAGCTTGAAGCACGATAAGAGGCTCCAAGAAGCACCTAGTAAAGAACATGTCAGTCGAGCTTGAGAATGTAAGAAAGTAGACTCACCCTCGCCCTACGTCTAGTTGGCCTTCTTTGCAGAGTTACTCCCGTCAGACTCAGCGTGTTTCTGTGGTTGCCTCGATCAGACCGGGCTCCTGGGATCGATAAAATGCTCTCTTACCTTCTGGAAAAGTCGGTTCCATCAGGACAGATGACTCCTCCGTCGAGAAGTTCTGCAGATACAGGTCCGGCCGGTCGTGGCTCTCGGGGAAGAGGTTGTCCTTGAAGAAGTCGACTTCCGGCTTCTTGAATCCAGTGGCGAACACGACCACGTCTCCTTGAATCTAAAATGGATCTGAGCACACTCGAAACCGAACGTGGGGGAAGCCAGGAAACGCGCCTCTCGGGGTTCCTTCCCTTCGCCTGGCTTCTCTTTTCGCCCGCCTACCTTGACTCGCACACCGTTGCGCGTCAGACGCTCGATGTCGCACCGGACGTACTCGCATCGCCCAGCCTTGACATGCGGCATGCCCGATGTTGACGATGTCGAGCCTCGTAGGCACGAGCTCGGATGCCCCGCCATAGCTCCAGCATGCGATGGACAGCTCCCACAAGAACGACAGCGGCATCTCGCGCCCGAACGGCTGCGCCGAGATGAGCGTGTCGACCACGATGTTCCGCGGGATGATCAACTGCGCGACCCGCGCCTGCGAGATCAGTGGCTGTATGCGCCCAGCACAGACGAGCAGCGCACCTTGTCGTTACGCGTGAGCATCACGCACCCCGTCGCGCCCTTCGCCAGCGCGGTCTCCACCGCCTCGACGCCGCTCGCCCCGCTCCCGATGACGCAGCGGCTCGACGTGGGGCACACGTGTGTGGCGGAGGCGTTGGTCCGCCCGTGCTCGAGTGCGTCTTCCCCTGCGTCTTCCTCCGAACTAGCGCTGAGCCGCACTGCAGGCTCTGACCACGGACACAAGCGCCACCACGGGCACCGCAGCTCCTGCTCCTCCAGCGGTAGCTCGAGTGCCCGACGAGCACGCCCACCTGCTCTCGTGGACGCTCATGCGCCCGCCCGCACCGTGCGCGCCGGCAATGGCCCCGCGCTGCACGCGTACCTGGGCACGCTCGAGCGCGGCGCGCCCGTCTCGATGCACGTCCGCGACCCGAACGCGGAGCGCCCGCTGGGCCCATACTGCGACGGCATCGTCAACGGCGCACCGGCGACGGTCGTCCTTGGGGGCCACCTCTCGCGCGAGTGGGCGGTGTTCCCGCCCGCAGGGAAGCGCGCCGCACGGTTCGTGGCGAGGGGGGACGCGGGCGCGCTCGAGGGCGAAGGCGACGGGGAGGAGGGGCTCGCGGTGCCGCTCGCGATGTTGTACGCCGCCCCGGAGCGAGGGCCGTACGGGCTCGTCACGCCGCTCACGACGATCCTCAGGCGAATCTGGGACGTGACGGGGCTGCAGATGCGCTTCCAGAAGCCGGAGTGGGGGGTGGATGAGTAGGATTCAGAGAGTCTGTTGAGGGACCGTGATACCCTGGACTGCGACCGCTCCGGGTTCGTCTTGACGTCCGCGCCGGAGCCCTTAACGCGCTTGACGGACGTGACGGGCGGGTTGAAGCGCGTGCGCGGCTCGAGGTGGTACTCCTTCCACACGCGCGCGATCTTTGCGAATGGGCGGGGGAGGTGGGTACATGCGCCAAAAGCCGTCGAATGAACCCATCTAAGTGACGGTCCATGACAGAGAGAACGGATCCAGCAGCAGAAGTCGCGACGTACCAAGAACATCGTAGCAGTCGACGGCGCAGCAAAAGGCTGCAGATTTGAGCGCATATACCCACCATATACTCCGAAGACAGACGTGCTTGAGACGGGACGTGGTTGTGGTCCTGGAGTCTGTGATAGTGAGTGCGCACTTCGCGTGCACAGGAAAAGGGCTCCCGAGAGAAAGAATGTTCAGACTGGAAGACATGCCGGACCCCATGAGGTAATGAGTCGGTTCTGCTAGGGCCACTGGTCGAGGGTGTTGATGTGGGGTTGCTGTGGGGATGCTGAGGAAAGAGGAGTTTGGAGTTTGTGTCGGACATCTGAAGTGAGGGCATGCATAGGGAGGAGCAGCATTTTGGGGAAAGAGGATGGTGGTACGAGAGAGAGAACACATCGAGGAAGCTGCGACGCGCAACCACTTGGGTGCGGCGCTGCTGCTACATTGGGTCGTACCACGTGATCGAGACTCTGGCAACGCCGGGCTCTGGAGTATCCGAGTACGTCCCACCTCGCTGCTTCCACCCCCCACCATCCTTTGCTGCAGCTACAATGTGCGGCGCATTGACACTACAAATTCGCCGCCCATAGGTTGAACTGCTCAAGAGCCTGCGGATGCGCCTAATCAAAAACGCGGCAGCGCAGAGCAGATACGACTCCGAATGAGAGGTCTTTGCTTTGGCTGGTGTCTTATGTAGTGATTCAGCACCTGATATATGTCTACATCCACTTTTCTGGCAAGATCTAATGGATATATATGCAGGCGTCCATGTGTGTTGTGAACATGTGCTGCGTTCACAAGACGACGATTGGCGACACACTTAACTACGCGAGGTGCATTTGCTCTCCACATTATCAGAACGTTGAGACTTACTAGTTCCAGCCATGTTGTAAGCCATGCGAGAACTCTGTGCAGTTCTACCCTGCATCTCATCCTGGCCAACCCAACGCTATCCAAGCACCGTCGTAGAGAACAAGGCTGGGTGCGCCGTCTCAACCTCCCTTTGCTCCTCCATTCCCGCCTCGTCAAACGCGTCTTGCGCACCCACGGAGACCACTGAGAATTCGCACAAGACAATTGCCTCGCTTGCCGCATGCCGGAACTCAAGCACTCAAACGTGAGGTGGGCAACAGCCTGGAGCGCACCCGCGTACACGCGTTGGAGCTTGAGGCGGACGGCCTCCGCATCGTTCGGCGCCACCCCGCACGCGTGGAGAACCGTGGCGAGTGTGTGCACGAACCCGGCCGTGGCCTTGCCACTCTCCCCAGCCTCGGGCTTGTGCAACCGACAAGCCCGATTCTTCTCCAAACCGCCAAAACCTCCATAGATGTGTCCCCGCTGGTGCGGACGAGACCATGCATGTGCTCCTCTTGGATCGACAGGATCGACTCCGCATCCCATCACACTTCTATCATCGAACGTTCGCACTCCTTGTGGACCCCGCCTGTTCCAAACGCATGGCTGGATCGCTGTGTGCGATGCTCGTAGGTGGAGTTCTGGATTCGGAGGCTGGGAGAGTGCGCAGGTCCTTGCGCAAGTCGGCACTACACGCAGCCGGCGGACGGGGACGACCCACTGCAGAACCCAGATGTATCTAGAATTCATGCTTTCAATGTCATCAGATTCCGGTGCCCGCCAGCAGCGTGTCAGCCAATATTCTCGGCCCTCGACTGCTGCTCTGCTATTTTTTGTGCTATTTTGAGTGATGTAAACGCCCGCGTGAGGCGTCCGCGCGGTTTTGCACGGATCCACACGCTTTCACACGGTTCTGAAAGCCTTACAAAGTATTTGGCACGTTTTTGAAAGTTTCTAAAAGTTGTAGGGTTTCACTGGGGTTACAGGCTCATCTTCGGGCGTCCGGTGCAGGCGCAAGGAATTCGGCGAGCCGCGCAGGCGGTCCTATATAGTAGTTGGTTTAGAACTGCTTGTTTCGAGCTCACTGAAGTGACGGGGACTTTAATAAGCTAACCCTCTGTTCATTTTTCCCTACATAATTTTATGCCCTCGATTCTGCACATCCGTTGATATCTTCCCGAGCGATGTCGATGAGAGGTGAAGCTTGAAGATGGGTGAACGTGGGCGTGTCTCTGTCGGGATTCGAACCCACGCTCATAGAAGCGCCCGAGCGAACCCGCATCATCGGAGTTCCAAGTCATCTTGCCGCCAGGCACCAGCTTCTCCGGTCGAGCCGCCTGGGGTTCCTTTTTGGAACCGTCAGCAAGCCATGGCTGCAACACCAGGCTGGAGTATCCGCATGCGGAGGAGGAATGCCTTGAACAAGGTGAGTGCCTCTACACCCATTTACACCATCCATCTTGCATATGTGCATGGTCTTGGGCTCGAGCTCGCCGCCTCTCTATATGCTTACAAATGGTGCCATTACCTCTTGCTTTGACATCCACGGCCGCATAGCGTCAGGGCCATCTCTGCACTCACTGCTACGGCCGAAACCCTCCTTCCTGGACTCAGATCACACTGCATGTCTCGGTCGTCACGCCGACACTGGTGCTTGGCAGGGAGAGCGGTCGTTGATTTGCGAGTCCAGGCTTCCAAGGGCTTCCGCTGCTGGTAAAGGCCTGCAGAGGCGCGACTGACCCATTGTACCCCGGATAGCTTGATTCACCACTGCCGTGGTAAGTGGTGTTGCGACATGTCCAACCTGCGGCTCAACCGGAGGTGCCGGCGTGCGGCGGCCTGCGTCCACCGCATAATATTGTCGTCCGCCTTTCGGCGCGTTGCCAGACAGCCGCCAGGTATAAGGCGCATGTCGCCATCGGGCCCTGGTCCCTCCTCTTCCCCTCGCCCTCGACTCCGCCGACTCTCTCATGCTCTCGAGGTCGTTCTGTAATCTGCTTGGGGTCACCGCGCTCGCGCTCGCGGCGCAGTTCGTCGGGGCGACGACGATCTCGCCACGCGTCGTGCACGAACGCCGCGCCGCGACCCCGCGCGGATGGTCCCTCCACCGCCGCGCAGACCCCGACATGGTCGTCCCGCTCTCCTTCGCGCTCGCCCAGCCAAACATCGAACTCCTCGAGGCGTACCTCCTCGACGTCGCGGACCCCGACTCGCCCAACTACGGCAAGCACTGGTCCCCGGCCAAGGTCGCCGCGACGTTCCGCCCCACGGACGAGTCGGTCGACACTGTGCGAGCGTGGCTTACGAGCGCGGAGGGGGTGGACGCGTCGCGCGTCCGGCTCAGCAAGGATGGCGGGTATCTCGACACGACCGTGTCTGTCGCCGAGGCGGAGGCGTTGCTCGGCGCGGAGTACTACGTCTACGAACACACGGACGGCACACGGCACGTCGCGTGCGGGGACCGCTACCACCTCCCCTCGCACGTCGCGAAGCACGTGGACACCGTCTGGCCGACGATTCACTTTGATGTCGTCCCACTCTCGAAGCGCACGGCGGACAATACGGCAGGGCGGGCGCCGGCGAAGGGCTCGCCCTCGGACTTCAAGCCCGCAGCGGCAGAACGACTGGTGCGTGTACACGTACGGTCCTGCGTAGTGCGCGCATGTGTGAATGTGTCTCTAGGCTTCAAGTTATCCTACTCCCCCTGCGAGCTGCTATTACGCGATGACGCTCGACTGTCTGCGGACGTTGTACAACTTCAACTACGACCTCGTAGTGCCTACACAGCACTCGATCGGCATCGGTGAGTCTCGTTTTTCACGTGGCCGCCGTGGGACGGAGCTGATCTCGTGATGGCAGTTGAGTTCGGTATGGAGACACTCAACCTTGCGGACCTACGTATGTTCTTCGAGAACTACGCCCCCGATCTTGCGAACAAGACTCCTACTTTCGTGAGCATTGATGGAGGTGCGGGTGCGGGTGCGTCCGTCAGGACCAACGGCTAATTATGGAGCAGGGATCTCGAACCAGTCCATAACCGACTCGGACCTTCTCCTCGAGCCGAACCTCGACTTACAGTACGCCATGGGTCTTCTGGGCGAGGAGGCGCAAGTGCTTCAATACCAGGTCACGAATGAAGGTGGTTTTCTTGGCTCACTTCGATTATGCGTTGCGCCTCTGACCTAGGCTTCTAGGCGGTCCCAGCTTCTCTTACTTGCCGTATGACCTCCTCCTCAAGGCGCTCGATGCTGACTACTGCACCTTCGAGGGGGCGAACTCGTCACAACCAGAACAGTTCGATAATGACGGTGGGTATCTCTATATGTGATTCTTCCCATCTTATGTTTTGATTGCCGTCTAGAGGACTGCGGTACGAAGCCACGGGCAGACGTCATCTCCATTTCCTACGACCAAGCTGAGTTCGTGTTTGGCTCGATCGCCGCACAGAGGCAATGTACTGAGTATGGGAAGGTGGGCTCGTTCGCTGGTTTCTGCCTGCATTCCTCTTTGACACACGTTCCAGCTTGCGTTGACTGGGATCACGTTCCTCATGAGCTCGGGCGACAACGGCGTAGCGACGTTCAGCAACGTCTGCGTCGACGCCATCGGTTACCCCGATGTCGGTGAACCCGACTTCGCGCCGCACATCGGCAACACCTGCCCCTACGTCACCTCGGTCGGCGCGACGGAGCTCAAGGCCGGAGACGTACGCGTTTCCCCCCATGATGTTCCCCTGATCGCGCTGATGCACTTTGGTGCAGCCCGCGCATCGTGAGATCGCGCCACAATCTTTCAAGTCCGGCGGCGGCTTCTCGAACTTCATCGCCCGCCCGTCGTTCCAGGACACCGCCGTCCAGAGCTACATCGCCAACTTCACGGGCAACATAAGCGCGGAGGCGTTCAACCGCGCCGGGCGCGCGTACCCCGACGTCTCGGCCCTTGGGTACGTCAGCCCTCTGCCTCCCCAGCGCCACGATGCTGATGCGTACATATCCAGCCTGAACTACCAGGTGGCCATCAACCAGGGATTTTGGAGGGTTTACGGCACCTCCGCCTCGACGCCCGTCTGGGCCGCCCTCATCTCCGCGGTCAATGACGCGCGGCTCGCCGCGGGCAAGTCGGTGGTGGGCTGGGCGAACCCCGCGGTGCGTTCCCTCCGTCGTCTCTCGTTTCTGGGTCTGAATGGTTGGCAATATTGTAGCTGTACTCGTCCGCGTTCGCGGATGTGTTCCACGACATCATATCGGGCGACAACTTCGCGTGCGGGCCGAACCAGGACCTCGGGTTCGTCGCCGCGCCGGGCTGGGACCCCGTCACTGGGTTGGGCACACCGGACTTTGAGAAGCTGTTGG